AGTCCGGGATATCTATGGGCACTCAACTTCCTGTGTCAAGGATCTCAAATATGCAATCACGGGTGGTCCTCATCCCAATTTGTTTGATGTGGTGAACAAAGCAGACCATAGCGCGAAGAGGAAAAGGCTCTCGGCTGCATTCGCTATCAAGAACCTTGTACAATGGGAGTTCAAAGTCGCGTCTACTACAAAGCGACTTCTGAATGCCTTCGATAAGCTCTGTACGCAGCCGTTGCCGACAAATTCCTTTCCCGACCCGTCCGACCTGACTGTGGATTTCAACCACTGGATCAACCTTTTTACAATCGAGGCAATCAATAATATTGCACTGTCCTCGACGTTAGGTCTTCTGGAAAAAGGAGATGACCTCGTCACGGCGCAGCGATTGGACGGTACAACGTACGAGGCACACTACCGCAAGGCTCAGAATCAGAATGCCTTCATTCTATCTCACTTTGTGTGGGACTACGGCAATTTCAAGCTGTTTAGTTGGATCTCTAAGCTTTTCCCTAAGTGGTGGAAAGTTTGGAAAGATGCTGAGCCGTGGAAGGACGTTATCTATCACCAAGCCGTCACTCGCATGAACCGATATGCCAATGGAGAAGACCTTGATGACTTTTTTTCGACAATGATGAATGACAAGGCTGGCGAGCCCCATAATTTGGAATGGGGTGAGATTGTCGGCGAAATTGGTGCTATCATCGATGCCGGTGCTGATACCACAGCCATTGCCTTGACTCAGCTCATTGATCTTCTCATTCGCCATCCGGAGCATTTAGAGACTCTTAGACAGGAAGTTGATGGCGTTCTCACCGAAGATGATATCGTTGCTCCATATGACACTGTCAAGCATCTCCCTTTCTTACGCGCTTGTCTAGATGAGGCTATGCGGGTAATTCCCCCTACCTCAGCAGGCCTACCTCGCCGAACACCCCCGGAGGGTGGGATGATCCTCGGTGAATGGATACCAGGTCATACTAGCGTATCTATGACAATCTATGGTGCCCACCATGATCCGACTGTTTTTCCAAATCCGGATGAGTTCCAGCCTCATCGTTGGATGGATCCTGAAGAGAGGAAAAGAATGGAGCCCTACTTTATCCCTTTCTCGACAGGGGCAAGAGGTTGCATTGGCCGGAATATCTCATATCTAGAGCAAACTGTCATGCTTGCTTCGTTGGTGCACCGATATGAGTTTGCATTACCGAGTCCTGAGTGGAAGTTGACGCGGCATGAGGCATTTAACCTGTTGATGGGCGATATGCCTATCAAGCTTTGGCGGCGAAAAATTTCTGCTGGGTGCTAGTTTCTGGGCCTTATTTAGATGCAATCACTTTGACGGGACTAAATGAGATTGAGCTTGAATGGAATGAACTCGCTGTGTCTATAAAAAATGATAGTTTGTCTAAATTCAAATCTAGTGTTCGAGGACAAATAACTCCACAAAATTGATAGGATGGCTTCTACGTATCGTAACTAGTCCTATCTCTCAGAACAGTTATGTTGCACTCGGAACTTGAATTTATGCACGATACACGAGTTTCTTCGCAATTGCGAAAAGCCGCCACTATCATTAAAGTCTCTCGCCAAGATTAAGAGTCGAATCAGGTACCTTAATGCGAGGATAACTTACAAACTCATCCGTGAGACGCTTCAAGCATCATGAGGGTATTGAAGTTCAACGTCAGCGCGATACCGAGTTGTTCCAACAACCGAGGATCAACCATCCTGAATTGCTTTCAAACTTAGGAAGCCCAATAGCCGGCCCAGCTTACCCAACCCAATATTAGTTACCACTAAGTATAAAAGTAGTGAAGCGGAATATAGTTCGACAATCGGACTGGATATCTGCATGGTGAAGATGTGTTTTAAAAATGGACAAAATTTCCGCAAACTCACGGGGTAGATCAGCGCCAAGCCACTTTGTCCCCGCGCGACTGTCTCACAAATCACAGGCGCCCTAAAGGGAATGGAGACTCTATACTCTATGTCCCCCTCACAGCACTATCTGCGCTATATAAGCCTTGGATTGTCTCCAAATTTCAATAACAAGTTTCTCAAGAGATTACTTATATTTAAGTTCCAACAAGAGCTAATTTTTTTAGTCCCGCCAAACATCATGGCAGATCACAATGATAATTCAGCACAGGCTGCTAAGACGAAGGCTTCTTTTGTTCATGATGAAGAAAGAAGTGAGGATCACCCCGACTTCAGAGTTGAACAAATAGCCTACGAAAGAAATGGCATCAAAGGAATCCTCAATTCACCTTTCGTCTGCGGTGCAGCTCTACTAGCATCATTTGGAGGGTTCTCGTTCGGTTATGGTAAGTCCTTCACGATGGAATATAAATTTCCTGATCACTGATATAGATCCTCAGATCAGGGAGTGATCTCCTTAATTCTAGTGATGCCTCAATTCATTGATCAATTCCCTCAAATCGACTCCGATGCCCCAAACTACGGATTTCACGTTGGTTTCCTCACAGGAATGCTAGAGCTCGGCGCCTTCGTGGGATGCATCTTTTTTCCATACCTTGCTGACCGTATTTCACGGAAATGGGGAATCAGCGTTGCAACCGGATTTTTCTGTGTCGGCGCCATTATCCAAACTGCAGCCAATGAATATGATGCACTGGTTGCTGGCAGGTTTATCGGTGGAATCGGTGTTGGCACATTGGCAATGGGTGCACCGCTGTATATCTCGGAGATTGCTCCTCCAAATTTGCGAGGCTCACTGATGGTGCTTGAGGCCATCAGTATTGTCATAGGGGCCATTGTCGCATATTGGATTACATATGGAACAAGGTGTGTGCCCACCTTTATCCCCCTCTCCACTTTTTGTTCACCTCTAATATTCTATGCGGTGAATAGAGCGATCCAAGGTGACTGGGCATTCCGATTGCCTTTTCTCCTTCAAATGATTCCAGCCCTGGTAGTTGGCGGGGGAATTCATTTATTCCCATATTCACCTCGGTGGCTTGCCCTTCGCGACCGAAAAGAAGAAGGCCTAGTATCACTAGCTCAGCTACGACAATTACCTTCTTCGGATGAAACAGTTCAGTTAGAATGGAGAGGGATCCTCACCGAAGTTCGATTCCAGCGAGAGATAATGCACAATGACTATCCCAATACAGGACCAGCGATGATGGAACTCAAGGGATGGATTGATCTTTTTCGTCCACGATATCTTCGCAGAACCGCCGTCGCTATTGCTATCCCTTTTTTCCAACAGGTGTCCTTTCCATTCAACCGAGAAACATTGTGGAGATGCTAACAGAGGTTGACACAGTTTTCCGGCATCAACGCCTTTGTATACTATGCCCCTACGTTCTTATCACGACTCGGTCAAAGTTATAACATGTCTTTGATTCTCTCCGGGCTAGTCAATGTCGTCCAACTTGCGGCTGGTATTCCCACACTCGTCTTTTTGGATAGTATTGGCAGACGAAAGCTTGCTATCATTGGCGGGTTTGCTATGGCTATTCCACATTTGATAATGGCAGGTATATATGGAAGGTTCAGCGATAGCTGGATTTCTAATAAGCGCGTCGGTTGGCTTGGGGTGGCTCTGATATGTAAGAAATCGCTAATTTCGGTTACAATTCGATTGTGTGTTCTGATAAATCTCAAAAACAGATATCTATGTTGCCTGCTATGCTGCTTCATACGGGCCCCTCGCTTGGGTTCTTCCAGCAGAGGTATTCCCAAGCTCCAGACGAGCAAAGGGTGTTGGTCTCGCGACTGCGACTATCTGGCTAGCCAATTTCATAATAGGAACTGTGGTTCCTCAGATGCTTGTTTCGCTGGGATGGGGCACTTTCCTATTTTTCGGTCTATTCTGCGTTGCTGCTGGTATATTTTCTTTCTTCTTTGTCCCAGAAACATCAAACAAATCTCTCGAACAGGTCGCAGGGGTGTTTGGGGACAATCTTCACCACGACGAGGAGGAGATCCAGGCACAAATCGAGCGAGAGATATGGCTAGAAACTAGTACGCAGGCCCATGTCTGAGACTATTGAATCTTTAGAAGCTCCGCAAGCCAAGAAATTGGGTCCTTGTTGATAGTCTGGCCAACTTGGCTTCCTTATACTGTAGCCTTTGCCATGATGCATGAGGGCGTTTTAGCTGGTGCCCTCCAGCTTTGGACACCAACTCGCCCAACTGATTATGTCAGAGGAGCTGAACATAGGACCAAAATAGTTGAGTCTCCGACATCCAGACTCTGTCCATTGAATCGTCGAGGATCGGTTTTCATCCTAAATCGTGACATCGATGATTGCATTTCCATTTTTTCATTTGCATATATAATACACGTCTGGTCCCTTTACCCTATTTTCTCTATATCCCCGCTAGCAATATTGGTTGTAAATAGAGCCCCGAGCTTGATTAATATACGCGCACACACGATGATAGGCAGGGTTGTGATATTGTCCTTCATCTTCATGTCGACCGCACTGGTGCTGCAGCCAAAAAAGAATGAAACATTTGTAACGCCCACGCCAGTTATCCATGACGAACCAAGCAAACTGCCAGGTCCTCCGACCACCACCACCACGCCATCGGACGCTTGAACTTTACAGGCCAACTCTCTCTGTGGTCACCTATCAGGCAGATGGCATAAGTGGCCGCAAAATGACAAAACTTAATATATATTCCGCTGGAAGGCCATCACTGCTCGTAGGGCGTGCTCAGAATGCATATACAAGATCTTACCTTAGGCAGCCTTGCAATACAACAACGGACCGGACATATGATCACTACTATGAGCCGATACGAACAAGAGTTTTGTAGATTTATCTAGCGATCAGTGGTTTTTGTAGATAGTTGACCTTGGAGTTAGGTCGAATCTTGAATTTGATTGGGCAGATTGGGGTCCAAGACGCTAAAAAATTACTGCGCCCCTGATCCCACTTCTTGCTGCCTTCAATAAGTTCTTTTAAACATTGTAACCATCTTTCTATCCTTCACTTTATGGCGCAAATCCTATGCATCTATCTGAAATGAATTTTTCCAAAGTGCCTGTTGAGTTGATCACGCATATCATCACCTTCTTGGAATACGACAGTAATTTGAACTCTTTCGTAAGAACGAGCAAATTCCTATACCATCTGCTGAACGATTATCTATATCGACACAATGTCCTCTATTTTGGTAGCTCCGCCCTTGAATGGGCTGCGCGAAATGGTGTCGAGGCTACTGCGCGAAAGGCACTAGCGGCCGGCGCTTTACCAAGTGCTTGCGTGGACGAAGAATGGCAGCCGATGGCCTTAGCAGCGGCTCACGGACACGAGCAAGTAGTCAAGCTATTTCTGGATCTAGGTCTTGATCCATGTCGGAAGGAAGGGTGGCGACCCCTCACAGAAGACTTTCAGAACCAGGAAGATGCTGACGAAGAGGGAAATCCGAACTTGCATTACAAATGTGAGAGTGATCCGCTCAGCCTTGCGATTACCCATGGCTGCGAGAACGTTGTTCGCTTGCTCATTACACATGGCGCCATGAAAGATTGGAACACCCAAAATGCGACCGATGCCATGTACCTGGCTGTCACCGGTGGACACTTGGCTCTAGTCAAATTACTGGCAGGTTTGTTTCCTGACAGTATCAATGGAGCCAGTATGTATAGTGATATGCCCTCTCTATCTCTTGCGATGTATAAGAATGAGTTGGAAATTGTTCGACATTTGACCAGTCTTGGTGCCGATTTAAATGCTGCATGCAGACAGGAAATCTTTCCACTGGGCTGGGCAGCCATACAAGGAGATTTTAAGGCCATCACTTTCCTCGTAGACAACGGAGCCTGTCCGGACCCGATGATGCGTTACGGTGCTACATTATGGCCTTTGAGATGGGCAGCCGAAAGAGAGGAATATGATGCCGTGGACTACCTCCTCTCAAAGATTGATGTGAAAGCTAAGATCTCCAAGGGGGGCGAGGACTTGACTATCCTTTTGTTTGTTGCGGCGCTTTGTGGGCTTGAGAGTCTTCTCCGGGAGATTCTTGCGAGTGGATGTGATGCAAATAGCATTTGCGACTATGGTTATCCAAATGTCTCTTGTTGTCCCCGCCCAGCACTCTCCGCTGCGGCGCAAACAGGGCGTGTTGATATTGCGACCATTCTTCTGGAACATGGTGCAAGTCTTTATGGAGAGGAAGATGAATACATGGACTACGACCCGGAGTATCAGCCCCTCTTTTCAGCCTGTCGAGGTGGTCATATCGAGGTAGTGAGGTTGCTACTCGATCATGGCCTCGATCTCAGGAAAGCAGAGACCAAAAATAAGTCAGCAGTGATTGCAGCCATGGGATTCCCTCAAATCATTGGTTTGCTTCTTTCGCGAGGTGCGGACGGCCAAGCGCAATTTCGTGACGACGGAGCAGATCCCATGACAAAGGCCGTCAGTTCTGGACATATTGCATCTATTCAAGTCTTACTCGACCACAATGTGCCCGTTAAGCCTTCCGTCTTTTTCGCCTTGAACGAAAGCCTGATCGGCGAAGCATCAAAAGCGGAGGACGGGGCGTCTGTCCTGAATCTTCTGGCTGGGCATGGTGTGATGCCACTGGCGGAGAATAGAGACGCGGAACTAGCGTTGAGAGAGACTATTCGGCGAGGATCTGCAAAGGTCACTGAGTTATTCCTCAAACGCGGATTCGACCCAAACTTTAAATGGGACGGTCACCCACTCTATTCAAGATCATACCTGGAGGATGCATTGAAAGCCAAGGACCTGGAAGATGCAGAAGCAACCATTAGTGTGCTCCTACGCTATGGCGCAGATATCCGAGATCTTCAAGGCTACCAACACAATTTCTCCCCCCTTGATAGTGAGTCAAAATGCCTACAATTCGCTCGACTTCTTCTAGACCGAGGAGCAAATCCTCTTCCGGAAAGCCGCTTTGGTTTATCGCTTCTTGAGTTGGCGGCGAAGAGCAACTTCAAAACGTTCCTTCGCGAGATATTGCGCTACATTGATGCGCAGAACCTACCATTTGCTGATATACATCGAAACTTCTCTTTGGTTGAGTCCAATCCAGAAGTACAGAAGAATTGGCACGCTATGAGCATTTGGGAGAGCTTCTACTGGAGAAATAGATATCCCATGTCTTCTTAAATTCTAGGAACTTCCTAATAGAAGCTGGTGTCTCTTGGTGTTGGGGCTGAAGAATCAGTCGAAGACTGTCACACTAGTTTCGGGATGCCAAAACAAACTTAATCTCTTGTCAGAAAAATACATGAGGTTCAATGTTGGTATTTTAGTACTGGTCATCATAATATTGATCCAGCACATATTCCAATTGTAGTAGCGTCGTCGCATCGCCCAGTGAAATGCACATTTCAGGGTCCACTCTCAATAATTCAACAATGGCACCGTATACACATTTATGGCCCCTGTTGTAATTAACTTCATTCCACCCTCAAGTCTCCGAGACCTATGGCTAGAGACTAATAACCGGCCAATTCATTTCCTGTCATTGAAGACGTAAGATGGTTCGTTTTAACTTGGTGGCAAGCGAGTATCATGGCCTTCATGATAATCATCACGGGCCTTAGCTCGGATCGTTCCTCGACAATCTTTTCGACATAGTCAGTGATCCAGGTGACTGAAGTGAGGTCTGTCTCAAGGTCACCACGCTCAGGATTTCCGATGATATCCAAGCATAGGATGAAAAAGGGAATGAACTGGTGGAGTAAAATAAGACTGGATTTGTTTGAGGCTATTAATGACACAAGAACCACATTCAAGTAGGACGTGGCTTTTTGCATACCTTATTCCCCAAAATCCGTGTAATGATGATCCTAGGAGGGACTGGAACATCTTTATCGATTTTCGAGAGATATCCACCGCTTGATGTGGTAGCTTGTGTCTGTCTTGGTCGGACTTTTTCGATTGGTGAAGAACGATGAGGAATTTATAGCTGCTGAAAACCATGTCCACACAGAACCATGTGTCGATCTGGGTCTTGGCCATTCGAAGAAGCTCGTCCTTTGCGAGGTTAGCAAGTGTGATATGTCAACGACATTATCGGATCATATCATACTGTGTCCCAATCAGACATGATCAACTGCACCTCCTCAAGGAAGCTGTCAACTGTTGTATCGTGCAAGACCGGGTCAGGATCTGGCCCCGCGTCGGCCCAATCTAGGTACTTCATCACGACTAGGGCAAGTCGCATAGAAGCCAGGAAATGAATTTGAATAAAACGAGAAGATTCATCATCAACGCCAGTGATCGTGGGATCTGGAAAATTGACCTTCCAGGACCCCGCCGGCATGAGAGTCGGCTTGCCGAACGACAGCCGGAATAGACAATCTGTTCGCAGTAAGTGCCAGAACTCGAATCGTTTCCGATTTTTGTCCGTTTCGGTTTCTCCGATTATCGATCCTTGCGAGAGAGACGGCTGCCCGTTTGTCTCTCCTGGATTTCCGTCCACGGAGAAATACCCCAAGGCCTTGGCGATCGTGCAGGCATGGCCAAGCATCTTCCAGGCCACTTCGCTATTGCAGGCTTCGAGCGACATCGATACCTGGTACGTGGTCAGCCCAGCTTGATCACGATTGGGGTTTTATGGCTCCACTTGCCATTAATACTGCCACAAAGAGGTCGGCATAGGTATTCTGAATGTGGTCCAGCCAGCAATCGGTGAGGGCAAAGCACTTTCTGTAGAGATTTGTGATAAGTCCGCCGTTATCCTTATGAGAGCCGGGATCCAGTATGATCCCTTGAAGGCGAACAGTATGATAGATGATTTGCGACGTATAGTCAAGCTGAATGTGAGGGTTTTCTAGTAGGTCCGGGATGGAAAGCAAAAAGCTCTTTTCCAGGGGAATTTTGAATCCTTCGAATTGGTAACTCTCATAATAATCTGAGCCACATGTTAGCAAACAGGCGCCTAAAAATAGGAGACGAACTTGCTTTGAATGAAATTCTTTGCAAGGTCGTTTGGGATTTCGGGACTCGCTGGCGGCCGGTTGTCATGTTCATTCTGCAGATAATCAATTTCAGGCATTGCAGCAGCGATGGCCCCAACGCAGCGTTCGTTTTCAAAAAAGCACGATTCGACCCTTCGCAGGTGACTGAAAACATTGGACAGAAGTAGTTCCCGACGCTGTGGGTTCTTTATATGACTCAAGATACCTCCAATCACGCCGGGCATGGTCGGAGCATGGGACTTGTCCAAGGATACAGGTCTAGAGGTGTCCGAATCAACGGACGAAAATGTCATCGGACTATCGGCATCTTCGTCGATGTCTGGAGACTTCTCCAAGCCACAATGATCTTCCAGACGTTTGAGGCGGCGAAGAACTTCTAATAGAACACCATTCTGGTTGACGTCGTTCCTACGATCTGTCGGCAAAACGTCCGGACTAGTGAATCCAAATCATGGGCAAGTAGTTACCCTTGTTTTTTGGTTCGAGGCTTGCGTGGCAGGTATGCACACTCGGCTCCAATAGATTCGCATTTGTCACATCGAGGGGCGACTCGATTGCATCGAATCTAGAAACCTGTTACTCTGGTATGTGACGCCCGGATTACAAAGAGTATCTACCTTTTTGGACTGGCAGCGACGGCACTAGCAGGTCTTTGTCAGGATTCAACAAGTACTGTTTGATAAAGGGGCTCACAGAAATATTCTTCAAGGGGCGGGTGCTCATATTGTGGTATAGAAACGGGCTAGAATGAAGAAGCGGGAATAGCAGAGTCCGAAAGTCCCGGAAGACACGGGAAAATGGTGGGCCCGAAACTCCGGGAATAAGGTGAGTCCGAAAGTCCGGGATCCACTTTGCCCTAGTCTAACCAGATGGAGATATCAGATGGCTTGGCTATTCTAGTCTTCAGCCTAGAGCGCTTCAGCCTAGAGCGATCAGTGCCCTCTACGGCCTATTAGAGTCAAACAAAATCGCCGATGCATTATCCTGATACCCATGTTCCCGTACTTTTTTATATAAAGGCAGTTTATACCCGCCTTTAAATATATCCTGGATGAACCCCCTCTCTCTATGACCTATGCTTTTCTTCACCCATCACAAACTCGTGTCTATTTGGAAATATGGATATTTCCTCGAATGTTCCTCTACATGATACTATGACACAGAAATACGCTACGTTCGAAGAGTCCGGTTTAGCATCGACAGATGCTCACCCCGACGATCAGGTCATCGACCTTTCCAAGAAAAATCCCGAGGTTAAGGATGCCGCCGAGCAGTCTACCTCGCTCAAGGATTACTTTGTATGCCCCATTTACCTAGTAAAATTCTAATGTGATTAATCTGATTCGTGCCTGTTAAAACCCAGAGAATCCTCTCGTATACGACTACCAAAGATCGGATGGTCCTCGCTGTTGCCTTGATATGCTCTGTGGGGTCTGGTGTGGTAAGTGTCTCGCTATATTCTCATACGAAGCCAAATGAATCTGACACCAATCTTGCATCAGCCCCTACCGATCATGAACATCATCTTTGGTGGACTGGTTGGCGAATTCAGTTCATATTTTACCCCTGGGACCTCGACCACTGAAGCCCAGTTCAAAGCGTCGGTTAGTCGGCTAAGGTAGGTGAAAAGTTCTTCTCTTCTTAAAATCTACACGCCTGACTCTTGGGAAGTCTGTATATTGTCTATCTCTTCATCGCAAAGTTCACCTTGACATATTTCTCCATGGTAATAACCCGCCTAAGCCCCAAAATATTCAGTATTTTGAGGAAGCTGATCTGTTCTACCCCAGTACTGCTTCCGTGTTATCAGTCTTCGGGTCTCAGCCGCTTTGCGACTGGAGTACATGAATTCGCTTTTCGCTCAGCCAATCAGCAAACTAGACCAAGTCTCAGTTGGAACTGTCGTCAATACAATCACCACCCTCTCCAATTCGATCCAGCAGAGCATATCAGACAAGCTGGCCATTCTCTTCCAATCCTCCGCCCTCTTGATCGCTGCATATATAATCGCCTTTAAATACTCATGGGCCCTCACTCTCGCCACCAGCTCTTGCCTTCTGTTCATTCTCGTCGTCTGCAGCATGACCCTGCCCGCTATCTCTCAGATCCAACAAAAGACAGACAAGGCGGATGAAAAGCATTCAGCAATTGCAGCAGAAGTCTTTGGTTCCATTCGGACGGTCATCTCGCTCGGTGCCGAAGCGCCTTTGGCGAAGAAATATCGACAATGGGTTACAGAATCCCGAGACAGAGGTCGAAACATGGCCATAATCATGGGGTTTCAGTTTGGTCTTATTTTCTTTGCCATGTATGCTAGTTACTCACTGGCATTCTGGCTTGGTCTCAAGCTCTACCGGGAAGGTCACATCCGTGACATTAATACGGTCATCATGTAAGTGAATTTGCGCAAACATTGCTCCCATTGCTAATTGCGGCTCACAGCGTATTCTTCTCGGTCATGATCGCAGTAAGTGTCATTGGAAGCATTGCAACACCGTTGACAATGGTGTTCAAGGCGGCCAGTGCAGCGACTACCTTCTTTGAGATTATAGACTCAGAGAAGATTTCCGCTGGCGGTCTTCGTGACTCTAAATCGCTAGCTCAGGGTGATATCGTCTTTCAAGATGTGGACTTTACGTACCCCACACGACCGGAGAGCAAAATCTTTCGGGGACTAAACGCTCGATTCGAAAGAGGCAAAACCACAGCATTGGTGGGTCCATCGGGGTCTGGAAAAAGCACTATCGTCGCTCTTGTCGAGCGATGGTATACCCCGGAAAGAGGAAGTATCTTCCTGGGCCAACGAAACATCGAAGAGTTGGATGTCAAATGGTGGAGATCCCAAATCGGACTCGTACAGCAAGACCTGTTTCTCTTCAACGATACAATTTTCAAAAACATCTCATTTGGCCTTGTCGGCACGAAGTGGGAGAATGAGTCTGATTCTGTGAAAGCCGAATTAGTGAAGAATGCATGCAAAGAAGCCTTTGCAGACGAGTTCATCGCGCGTCTCCCAATGGTATGTCAATTGCGCTCCTAACAGCTGCTCTCTATCTAATTTTTCTAAGGGGTACGACACAATTGTGGGAGAGAACGGCACCAAATTGAGTGGCGGTCAAAGACAGCGCCTGGCAATAGCCCGAAGTATCGTGAAGGAGCCTACCATTTTAGTTCTTGATGAAGCTACTAGCGCAATTGACGTCCGTGGAGAGAAGATTGTCCAGGCTGCCCTTGATCGCGTCTCCGAAAATCGCACCACAATTGTGATTGCACACAGGCTATCCACCGTTCGCCGCGCCGATCGCATTCTGGTTCTTAGGGACGGTGTCAATGTCGAGGAAGGGACACACGAGGAGCTTCTTGACATGGAGAATGGGCTTTACCGAGGTCTTGTCAATGCCCAAAAGCTTGAGAGTGCTACAGAAGAAGAAGCTGGTCCAATTGAGATCACGGAAGTCTTGAAGGAGGAACTTGATAATTCCACTCCTGTCATCTCTGAGCAGCCACGGTATGAGCACAAGGAGAAGGTGACACAGCGTGGCTTCTTTCGAAGCACTGGGGTTTTTATCTACGAAGCACGGACACACTGGTTACTTTGCCTGACTGCTTTACTTGGGGTACTAGGAGCTGCATGTAAGTCCTGTACTTTATACTCACTGTGCTGGGCTAACTTGTGAATCAGCTGCCTTCCCATTACAAAGTTGGCTATTTGCAAATCTCATCGATGTGTTCCGCCTCACAGGAGAAAAGCTGAGCGACGCTGCAAATTTCTGGGCCTTGATGTTCTTCATTCTATCTCTAGGCATCGCAGCCTGCTACGCCGTGATCGGATACTCAGCCAACAGACTCTCCGTTGTCAGTGATCGATGCATTTATCCAAGATACGAAAAGCTACTCTAACACACCTCTAGGAAATATCCTCCTCTTGTCGAACAGAATACTTCCAAAACATTCTGAGAAAACCAGTTCCGTTCTACGACTTGAACGAAAATGCCTCCGGCTCCCTGGTCTCACGTCTAGCCACAGACCCCAAGCAGATTCAGGACATGATCGGGCTGAACGGCATTTTTCCAATCATTTCAGTCTGCAGTACGATAGGCTGCATCGCAATCGCTTTCTCGTTTGGCTGGAAGCTGAGTCTCGTGACTGTGTTCGCTGCTCTTCCCTGCATCTTCCTTGCTGCATTCATGCGCATCCGATACGAACTGGAGTTTGAAGCCCTAAACGCGGAGGTATACTCTGGTAGCTCCCAGTTTGCAGCAGAAGCTATCGAAGCATTCCGGACCGTTTCGGCGTTGACCATGGAGCGTTCTATCTTGAGTCGGTACTCGGATCTCTTAAAACAACAGCAGAACAAAGCTTTCCGCAAAGCCTGGCTGGCCACACTGGTGTTTGCTTTCTCCGATAGCGTGGAACTCTGTGCTATGGCGCTTACATTCTGGTACGGCGGCCAGCTTCTCGCGTCCAGAGAGTACCAGCCCACCTCTTTTTTTGTTGTGTATATGTCAATCATTCTCGGTGGGCAACAGGCAGGTCAATTCTTTAGTTTTGGGCCGAATATTGCCCAGGCTACATCATCCGCGAATCGGATTCTGAACTTCCGACCAGCCTTAGATGACATGATTGCAGCTTCCGGGCTGCGCATGGCTGATCAATCCCGCAGGTCCGGGGCTCGCATTGATTTTCAAAATCTTGGGTTCAAATATGCATCACAGGAGGTTCCCTTGTTCACGGGTCTTGACGTTACCATCGAAAGTGGCCAGTTTGTCGCATTTGTAGGGCCATCGGGATGTGGTAAAACCACCCTGATATCGGTACTCGAGCGGTTCTACAATCCGTCCCTAGGAACAGTTCTCCTTAACGGCGAGGATATCAGCTGTATCGATCCAGCATCATACCGAAGATGTCTATCACTGGTGGCCCAAGAGCCACGACTGTTCGAAGGCACGGTCCGCGATAATATCATACTCGGACTCGACACCTCAGAGTACACGGAAGAAGAACTGGTTCAAGCATGCATCGACGCCGAGATTCACAGCTTTATTACATCCCTTCCGGACGGATACTCCACAGAACTAGGGATCAAAGCACAGACAGCTCTTAGTGGAGGCCAGCGACAACGACTATGCATCGCGCGCGCACTATTGCGGAAACCTTCTTTGCTACTCTTAGATGAGGCGACATCAAGCCTTGACTCGCAATCCGAGAAAATCGTCCAAGCTGCCCTTGAACGGTTGGCTGCACGGAGGAGTATGACAATTATTGCGGTTGCGCACAGATTGGCGACTATTCAAAAGGCAGATGTCATCTTCGTCTTTGGGGAGAGTCAGAATGGGAAAGGGTCGCGAGTCGTTGAACGGGGCTCGCATCAGGAGTTGCTCCAGAATAGGGGGATGTACTGGCAGATGGTTCGTACTATATTCCTTTCTTTGCTTTTTACTTTGGGGGCTTGCTAACCGTACGTCAATGTTATAGTGTCAAGCAAATGGGCTAGATCGATAAAGGCCTTCAGTGTTCATTTTGCAGCCAAATGTATTCCCCGAAAGAATACCTAAATGGACTACTTGTAGTGAAACCTTCCTGAGCACATCAGAAAACTGCTGGGGCCCAGAATTCGGATGATAGCATTATAGTTTGCCTCAACAAATGAACGAGCAAATGCTGCTGTAATTTACGCCCAGAGACGTCCAGCTCCCTCGAGTAAGCATGGCCCCACCGTTCGACAAACTATGGTGGTAGCCGATAAAGGGTGGACGGAACCTACGACCTGGTTCCGGGTTGTGTTTGAAAAAGATGGATGGAAGCGATATGGCAGTAGCTTCTTGCTTCTCGCTGTCTGTGTCACTGCTCGGCTCCATCATCTCACCGCTGAGACGGCCAAAGCCCTGACGAAGGGAAATTCACCAACTAATAATCACGCACCTTACAGATAACTTCCCTCAAAGTCAGGTATGGGGATATGGACGAAAGTCCCGGGACAATGGTCAACATATTTTGAAGATGCGAGAATCACTGGTAATTGTAACCGCAGACGAGGTGCAACCGCTATGGTACAATTCGAACACGAGTTGCGAATTCACCAAGGATGGGACCAGCTGTACGGCACCCAACCATCTATGCAGTGCTGGCTTTGCGACACTGGCGAACATACCTGGTTTTCACGGCGCATTGTACGCCCAGTTGCCCAATGCTTTGGGTGCTACCGGGCTAGATTATTTAGTTGTCCCTTTTCGCTTTACATTTCACTCATCTACCCTTGCTCTCAATGTTTCACCTCTTCAATCACCAACTAGAAAGTATGTTATAGGTCTGCAAGATTAGACTTTCCCTAGCTCACCATTAGTAGACGCCAGGCCGCTCTGGGCATCACGGCGCACTGACTTACTCTATCAAAGCCTGGCCAAAGTTGGAGATATTCCCCGCTTGCAGGTAACTCAAGCCGCGTCATATGTCTGGTGTGGCTAAACATTTCTTTCGTTTCAGTTAGTCAAATATGTTCCTACCATAGAAATTCAAAGGCGAAAGCAAAACGAGGAGCTGAAAGGAGTTGGTAGAAGTGGGATCATGATCAAAGTTATATACTCGTGTTGCATTAGAGCAAACGATCTACTCTTTGGTATATATCTGACTCATCTAACTATTTTTTTAGTGCGAAGGCTACTTGCTGAACTCGACCGTCACAAATGAGCATATATAAGATTGACCTAATATTCAAGATTGCAACCAAAGTCTGACTATAAACGACTACACACGTCTGTTCTTTCCAACATTCATGCCTTAACTAGTTAACCTCAGCCAAGTCGGGCGTGACGATCCTCCGCACGCTGCTTTCGCAACCGCGAAGCATACCTGACGCCAAAGCCATGCTTGAAAACCTCGCGAATCTCTTCAAGTTGTAGTCCGGACATTTCAGGGTAAAAGAATATGATCATCACCCAGCCTATGAATGTTAGGCATGCATAGAAGCCAAAGGCGCCAGATGGCGTGATGCCCTTCATCATGGACAGGAATGTCGAGGAGACAATGAGATTTGAGCCCCAACAGCAGCAAGTCATATACATGGTGCCGACGGCGCGAACCTCCATAGGGAAGAAATCTGCACTCATCCAGGCTGTGTTGCCAATAGAGACACCGTAGAAGATCACGAAGAAAATGATGAATACTAGAACGATGATGGCGGGTGTTGTGACGGATTTTGTTGTCATTTCTAGCGTCTCCAGATTCACTGGGATGTATGCGAAGGAGACTGCAACTGCGACTAGGCTGGCTGACATGCCCCAGGAAGTCGTTACTAGGAGTCGTCGACGGCCAAAGGAGTCCACGACTAGCATGTTGACCAAGGTCATTGCTAAATTGGTTCCTGATACAACGAGGCCCACTGCGACCGGGTTGGAGAAACCGACTAGTGCGAAGAGCGTTCCGGAGTAATACATCAGGACATTGAAGCCTGACATTTGACTGATGGTCACTTGATGAGGTTAGTTTCAGAGACGGAGACCTCAGGGGAAGATAGGGTAGACTTACTCAAACCACACGCACACACCAAGGCACGGAAGTAGGCAGGGTTTGTGTGGAGTTGCTTCACGATAGAGAATCGAGACTGGTTACCAGTAGATTCCCGAGATTCACGGACACCGGCTTCAATCAGTTGGATTTTATCCTGAACTTGCTCAGGAGTAGCCGCCCTGAAAATACGGTGAAGAACCGCTCGAGCTTCCTCGTGTTTGTTGTGGTAAATCAACTGGCGAGGCGACTCCGGGCACAGCGGGAGCAAGACAGCGAGTAGTATACTTGGAACACCACCCAGGCCAACCATGTAGCGCCAACCATGGGGAACGCCAGCAAAAGCAGCACCGAGTCCATAACTTATGACTTGGCCTCCGGTGATGCTAACATTGTTCAACCCGATCATTCGACCGCGGTGCTTGGTCGGTGCAATTTCGGCGATATAGGCCGGCACAATCATTGCTGCAGAGCCAACTCCAAAGCCAACAATCAATCTGCCAACTGCCATTTGCGGGATAGAGTATGCAGTGGCTTGTAAGACGGCTCCCACTGTGAAGAGAGCACATCCAATGTACATTGGCCCTTTCCGTCCATATCGATCGGCCGTCAGACCTGCGATAATGGATCCCACAAATGCTCCGGCAGAGCAGAGAGATGTAATCAGCTCCTTCTCGCTTGCTGACAGTAGATGGCCCAGACTGTCTTCGAGGTATACCAGGACGGCTGAGATGATTCCGGTGTCATATCCGAATAACATGCCACCGATAGAGGCAGTTAATGCGATGAGCCAGATGTACCAGCCCGTGTCGGTGTGCTCGATCTCATCAAGCTCGACGGCATCATGGATTGAGGGTTTCACCACTTCGATCTGGGTGCTGTCGGGCACCAAATCTTTGTCCTTTTCGAACGATTTTCGCCCATCGTTGAGCGATGAAGACGACATGATTTAGGTGTGGTAGGTTGGTATTCAGCGACGCGAAGATTGATGCTTGCATGGCTATTGAATGAGGCGGGATGCTTCCTTTTATACCTGAGAAATCCGGTCAAGGCATATCTCTGTAGTCCAGAATTGGCAATTCTGCCCTGTGGGGACTTGAAAACCTGGGGTAATGCGGGGGAACAGGCCGGGGAAGATCCTGACAGCAATCACCGCCGAGATGGCCTCAAATACACATTCCAAGGCCAAGTGGTGTATTTTGCCCGCCTTGGCAGTCAATATCTCCTTTTTGGGTAACTAACGCCCAAACTCACTTTGCGCCTCAAATGTGTTCCTATTGGCTGGCATTGCGGAATGTTGCGAACACAATCCCTTTCATTGGTGGTCGCTGTGTATGGCACCATGAAGAAGAATGGAGATGTGGCAAGACTGTCGTATCTTACCAAAGGGGGAAATACACGGCGGCCTGTGCCCCGTAGGCAGATTATTTTGAAACAATGGTATATCCCTCAACCTTCTTTTATGGCAAAAAGTGACGATAACAAGGAGGCGCTTTTAAGTTAGGTGTGCATGTGCGACCGGTGAAGAAGGAATCAGAAAGTCAAGGCGACTACTCGACAGTAAGATAAATCTGGCAGATTTTTACGAATCATAAAACGACATGGGAGGTTAGACCGTTTGCTTTCCTTTGTGACAAGATGACCAATATGCAGGCCATTCACCAAGCTGCAAGCCATCTTGAACCAATAGATGATCTAATTCTGTTAGTTGTGCTCCGATCCCAAACCGCTACATTTCAAGTAGGCGCTATTACTAGAATACTTAAGTGCCTTCTTGCAAATACGCAGGTTGGGAGTACAACTGTGCGTAAAGGCGCCCGTTATTGGTCATTATGCTTTGTTTGCCTGCCAGGGCATTACCACGCACTTTGACGCGTAAAACCCTGCCAATGGCCCTGGACTCAGTACACCATCTGATTCATGGACATTAGGCGCTAACATTGAGGCTCTGCAATAGGAACACACATCAGTATGGTACACATAATCTGACAGTTCGTTCTCTCTCTGTAAGGTCCATCAGTAACGATCGCCAACGGGAACGAGAAGAAAGAATCATCTGTCGGTGACCCTGTCATGTAGTTTGCATGTGATGCAATTACGCTGGGCCAAAGGTTGATGGTCGGAACTGGCTGATGATGCTGGGTGTCACCGATGAGGCTCCGAGGACGCGACGCCGTTTTACTCGCAGCCATCAGTCATTCCTTCGTCCTAGTTGCCGGTGGGTATTTGGATTGCCAACTGGCGAGACCAGCAACCACCAACACAAAGTCACCGGTTCCTCAAAAGCAGTAGAACACGACTACTTAAGAGTGAAATACCGAGTTAGAAAAGGTAGACAAAAGCATAAGATCATTGCATGTTCAATAAAAGCCCCTTGCTAGGTTCACATTCTGTCAGCCTGGCATACACCCCAGGGAAGTCTCCCGGTTTTGTTTATAATTGCTTTTCCATTTGCTACGGCATCTCACTTTGACTTGGCGGTACCTCGCAAAAAGTTCCACGCAAGGAGAACGTATGTTTGGGCTGAATGAGAAATTGAGCAAGGTTGGAAAGGCTTACAATCTCCCATCTGAGAAATGAGACCGGAACTTCCATGATATCTTGACCTATATGTTTCTTTGTATCAAGATGCGTAGGATGTGTTCGAGATTAGTCGAAGATAAACCGCATTGGTGTTTTGGTCATTGAATAAAACCACCAAACTCATCATTGATCATCTGCAGTGTAAACAACATGGCTATCTCACTGGACCAAATTAGCTAAGGGTCAGTCTCTTTCTTCTTGCTTGATCTCACCTTGATCTTATCACTTGTCGTGCCATTGCACCAACGTCAATACCACCAATGTCAATATCCCCAACGCAGAGAGACATTGTTTGTTGAACCATCTTGGATACCTCAGGGAGGTATGGCTCTAGGGCTGCTTCGCTGAGACTATATTCCGCTACCACAACCTCTCGGGAACTCCAGCAAGAGATAGGAGAAGGCAAAGACAACACCGGTCCGGTCCTTTCCCAATGAACAGTGAATAAGAAACACAGAATCAGGATGGGCCTTTTTATGAAGAAATATACTAGCAATTACACTAGGCCTTTCTCGAAGAAGATCCAGGCAGCGTTCAGCGACAGCCTATAGGAAATCAGCAACCTCCAACTAACGCACGGAATCTTGTTGGGGCAATTCAACGGACAATGGGCCCTCTAGATGTATGCTCAATGTACTTATCCAAATTGATCCTTCTTGAAAACTTGTGTTGTGAAATGGTACATCGACAATCTGAAAGTGCTCAATCCCTCCAGGTGGATGATCGGGTTTGGCGTAAAGCGAGTTAGCTTCTTCCGTGCTCGTCAGGCAAAATATAATCGAGATATTCAACTGATGTAGAAGCTTCCAACCGGAGGATGAGAGATCTGAGAGATGACCAGAACGATAAAGGAACCCGTTTCGAGTTACTATGTTTGGACCCAAACTGAAAAGCTTGTCGCCGTTACCACGTCATTGGCCCTTCATGGAACCATCCCGTATCCGTCGAGCTGTTCCAAAAGACCATCTCCTATGGGGTTCGCCAAATCAAGCTTAATCGGACTGTACGCGATGATTACACAAATTTTATTGCTGAAAGGTCGAGTTCTCTGGAGTTGACAGTTCTTTCAATGCCAGGCGTCGAAATCTATGCCAATCTATTGAAAGAATAATGGATGTTCTTGGATCGTCCGCACGTTAGTAGTCCTTGAGACTTAAAAAGTTATCCGTTTAGCTAGATACAAGACATCTTATTACAAAAAAATGTCATCCCACATTATTTGAGAAACGTACATCCATGTTACCGTTTAAGCCTTCTGTCAATTGATTGCTGACTTCCCAAGCTCTCACCCTTTTACTTAAACCAATTAGTCCGTATATCTGGGGGTGACTTCTGGTGTGGTCTGCTGGCGCGTGACTGATACAGTCTTATATTACCGATCCGCCATCTATCTATACGTACGGACATAAAAGTTAGGTAACTAGTCCAATCTAATTATACCTTATACCACCTTCTTCCCTTCTATTAGGCTGTCTAATCAGTTTCTTCTCTTTATAATATAAAATAGAAATCGCAAACAATCGGGGATTTCAATGCCCCGCACCATCCATCTAGCCATATTCTCAAATGGCGCGCAACTCAACAATGCCACCCGACCCAAGGCCCATATGATACCTTTGCACAAGTCGATAAGCGGTTTAACGTATCTCCTGGAATAACTTATAGTTTAACTTTTTGGGTATTAGGAAGTGCGGGGAAAGGAGTTCGTGGTCAGATAGATAAAGATCTAGACCTACATGTATAGGGAAACAAAATGGCCGATAACCAAAAGAAAGCCGAAGAAAGCCGAAGTCGGCTTTCTTTTGGGCAGTAGATTTAGGCCTTTTTAGTATTCGGTAATTTATGAAAATCTGGCTCGTTTCGGGGTTCGCGTAGTGTATACCAGGATCCGAGATAACGCCTCGATGTCCCCAACGACATCGCGTCAGTGCTCTGCTATTTTCTCCGACAATCAAAGGCCAACTTCCATAAATTCCGAGATATCTCACCTATCTAGGTATCTATGTAGTAATTACTTGGATTGGTAATCTAGACTCGGAGGATATTCTTACGTGCTAAGACGCAATCCATCGATATCTCGCGTCATGTGTCAGACCATCACTTAAGAAGACATAAAACGACGGCCACCCCGAGGGAATGAGAGGCATCAGACAAGTTCAAGAAAGCCCAAAATGCCCGAGTTTATCAGCGTGACCTTCCCGAACGCCTCAACCGAACTCAACCCCATCCCCAATGCATCCATTGATCCCGAATACCTCATTCGCTATGCCCGCACTCTAGACGACTACGGATATAACTATACCCTGGTGCCATATGACTCGTCCTCATATGATCCCTTCACCATCGGCGCAACCATTCTATCTGCGACCAAAAACATCAAGATCATCATCGCCCTCCGCCCAAACACCCTGTACCCCACAGTGGCAGCCAAGGCCCTAGCAACCCTCTCCCAACTAGGATCCGGTCGCGTCGTTGTCCACTTCATCGCCGGCGGAAGCGACGCAGAGCAAGCCAAAGAAGGAGACTTCTTAACGAAAGATCAGCGTTACGGGAGGCTAGAAGAGTATATCCGGATTTTGCGGCGCGCCTGGGACTCCGACGAGCCCTTCGATTGGGACGGCCAGTACTATCAATTCAAGCAATTCAGCAACAGAGTCCGACCGACCGCCAAGATCGAAGTCTCAGTCGGCGGCTCCTCAGACGAGGCGTATCGCATCGGAGGCTCGCTAGGAGATATCTTCGGTTTGTGGGGTGAGCCGTTGAAGGAGACTAAGGAGCAGATTGATCGCATCTATGCGGAGGCTGCCAAGGCCGGTCGTGCGGACTCCGACAGACCTCGTATCTGGGTGACGTTCCGTCCTATCCTCGCCGAGACGGATGAGCTTGCTTGGGCAAAGGCTCATCGCACGCTGGATGCGTTGACTACGCACCGCGCGAATGGGCAGGGCAAGGTCCCTGCCAATGCACCGCCACCTCAGAATGTGGGTTCGCAGCGTCTGCTTGATATTGCGGCTCGTGGGGAGGTCCAGGATCGGGCGCTTTGGTATCCTACTGTTACCGCGACGAATGCGCGGGGTGCGTCTACTGCTCTGGTGGGTTCGCCGCAGACTATCACCGATTCGCTTCTTGACTATGTTGATTTGGGCGCGGATCTGATCTCGGTCCGTGGTTATGATAATCTGAATGATGCTATTGATTATGGCCGCTTTGTGCTTCCCAAGGTGCGTCAGGCGTTGGAAGAGCGGAAGAATGAGGCTTCGGCTTGATTACGAGATTATGCCCCGACGATCTTAGACCAATATAACCCAATTGCGTATCTATTGTGGGCGTGTTCTTCCATTCATACTACGGATGCTGCATTCTCATTCAGATCGTCAGGTACCGAAATCCTCCTTTCTCGGCCTGAAAGACCGTATCCTAAGAAATTCTATATATTTCGCTTCGCGGTGAACATCCACTCTAACGTTAGAACAAAATTTTCGTAACCTTAGAAAGCCAATTATAGCCTTGGTTATTACAATATTATATTTGTGAATCAATCAACGACCGCACCTGCGTTTTGTGGGTTATATTAGACCCAAGTCGCGGTGGGGTAAACCCGGTAAAACTAGCGACGGGGGATAGAATGTGTACAGCGCCAGTCTAACCACTTGAACCCGCATCATGATGTACTCGCTCAGATTTGCTTGATTGAACCCAATCTTGAAATTTCGCCACGATGGTGGAATTGGAAGTCTGAGATATGCACGGCCACGTGGGAGTGTGGATAGAACCAGAAAGCATATCACTCATCCACACAGGATACAGGAGATCGTTCAGAAGGAAAATGGCTTGAGATAATGATGTAGCTGCATTTACTCCATGTTGTCTTCGTCTGTTCTTTTTCATTTCCTCGCCTTTTCCTTTTTGCACTGTTCGTCTGGGGCAGGATCTGTAGAGACTCTAAAGCCGTCATGATCGATACCCTTTGCTTCCAACGCTCCTTGGTTTTCCTCTATACTTGAGGCGGCAGTTATGTCCCACAGGAGCCTGGAATCGCAGAGGCCCTTTGTGCCAGAGTCCATCCCGGTTTCACCAGGTGCTTATGAAGGAGAAGATTACTTTTGCAAATTCACATCTCGCGTCCATCCCGGTGCCCACCTTGCCGATTCAGGAAGCTGGCAGAGTCAGCTAGATCTCCTAAGCTCCCAAGGTGATGGCCACAGAGAAGCGGTCCGGAGTGGAAACAACAAGAGCTACGCTGTCGGGTATATAAATCCCACTGTTGGCAATCTTACATCCCTGGGCGCAAGTGCGGCGATTCCTGGCCGTCTTGCTCTGACTTCATACATTATTGAATATGCAGTTGTGCATGACGATAGTAAGAGACCCTTTTTCGTTAAATTGCTTAAAACTCGGACTCCACCTCAACAAATGGGGCAGGGAAGGAACAGAACTGAAAAATTCTAAGATTTTACCCACAGGAAGATTATAAATAGGGCGTAACTAAAGGACCCCCGTTCTAGGCGTTTGGACCCTACTTACGCTCACTAAGCCCGATTAGGTCTCATGCAGTAATTGCATTTCCGCTCCCTCGGACTCCCATGGTTCTAGAGGGAGACCGCGGAGTCTACACATCAGTCATCAAACCAGAATCACTAGGTCAACTTCGGAGTAAAATTCTTTGATTATGACTGGTGACAGGCTGATCCGTTCGCTGAGCAACATACGCCTCAACCAAGCAACTCTGCACCTCACTCTGATCGATCAAGGTCATCACTCAATATCTGTGCTTTGCTCCTGAAATTTTCCTTGGCAGGTGGCTACACATTGTGTATGCCACACGCCGGTAAGTAGCGAGGAGGTGTGTAACACGAGCGAATTCTCACTGATCTATACAGCCTATACAAGGCTTTTTTCAATATGTAAACAAATATATACGACCATAGGTGTGGGGAATAGGGGCTCCTTTCCCGTTTAGCCGTACTTAAGCCAAGCAATATACTCGGCTAATTATTAGTACGCCCTTGGCACTTAATCGTAAGTACGGTGATTTAGGTGAGAAGTCCAAAATGGTAAAAGGTTAAAAGGGGCCGATAATTCTTACCTAGGGTAATAACGCCACCACCTAAAGTTAAAAATGTACGGTACTACAAGGGCTTTTTTTTAACTTTTTATATTTCAGGCGATCAAATCTAGGGCACTGGAGACCAATTTTGCGCCATAATTACCCCCTGGGAATAGCTAGCTCATTGCTTACGAATAAAAATGATGTTGTTCGCCACCGCTATCCCGTGGGGGAAAGATTAAGTTGGGAGAGGGCATGGAGCATAGAGGCTGGATGGAGTGTTATCCTCCATTTCCACAAAAACATTTCATCGGCTTCACTTCACATTTCCTCAACTCCAGATATGTAGGGATCATGGGAACTGCACCTGGGGTGTTTTAGAGAGTGGTAAGTCTACGGTAGTATGTACTTTGTCATCAAGTTTGATCTAGTGGTAGAAGATAGTCAACAGCCCATAAAGCCTTCTTGGTTTACTTATCCCTATACGGCAGTGTTGTGGAGGTGGCCCGTCCACTGTAATGGCGGAACTGTAATGGCGGAAATGTGTGAATTTGAAGGTGATATTATACAGCTACAGAGCGGCCGAATCAGGGTCTACACACTCCTTTATACGGGTTTATATGGTAAATTGGGTTAATTCGGATTGCCCTTGACGTAGCATGAAAATAAGGCCAGAACCCGAAATCGGCTATATTGATGCCGGATCACCCACAGCACTCCATTCACCTCGGGCCAGGCCATTCTGAGTTGTCAATGGGTTCAAACTTGCACCATCTCTCTCAACAAAGCTATTTTCCCACGGGTATGTTGTCGGGACCCCGCATGTCATATTTTTCCGGGGTAGGTATCGCCCGCCTACATAAAGCCCTAGCAATGGCAACTCAACCTGTCGTCTTCATTTCCCAACACTATTCGCACACACATAGCTCAATCATGTTGCGGGGAAGAGCCCTTCACCTGGCACAAATTGCATTTGCGGTTTTTCCTTCCTTCTTCCTCTTTGGTTATAATCAAGTCACTGTTGGCGGACTTATCTCCTTCTCGGGCTTCACGGAGTTGTTTCCTCAACTGGATACCAGGCATGTCACTGGCTCTTTGAAATCTCATCGATCCGTCATCCAAGGAGTCTATGTCTCTTCATTTACTCTCGGGGCGTTCTTTGGCTCTTTGTGCTGCTTCTTTATCGGTGATGTGCTCGGACGGCGGAAGACTATATTCATTGGAGCTATCTCGACCTTGATTGGTGAAGCGATTTCATGCACTTCGTTTGGGCTACCTCAACTATTCATTGGTCGAATCATAACTGGCTTGGGCGTTGGGGTACTCGCCACGGTGGTTCCTGTTTGGCAATCCGAATGCTCTCAGGCCACCAACCGGGGAAGACACGTCGTGATTGACGGTATCTTTATCACCAGCGGCTACGTAATAAGCTATTGGATTAACTTCGGTTTCTCTCATATTGCTCAGTACTCCGTGTCATGGAGAGTGCCTCTTGCCATTCCTTCTATCCTATCCGTCCTCTTATGCGCATCCATATTCTTCTTCCCCGAATCACCTCGCTGGCTCGTCTCAATCGGGCAGATTGAAAAGGCAACCTCAGAGCTTTCCCGGATCAAGAACATTAATAGGAATTCCGAAGACATTGTACGCGAGATCACTTCTATCGAAGTTTCCCTGGAAAGCACTGCAAACAATGCCGCTTCAATCAAGGACATCTTCACCATGAAAGACGGAAAGCTCTTCTACCGCTGTATGCTGTGTATCGGCTTGCAGTTCTGGATTCAAATGACAGGAGCACAAGTTATCAGCACATACTCGACGACAATTTTTCAGCAGAACTTGAACCTTTCTGATGGGGTTACCCGCATTTTGGCTGCAAGTGCTATGACCTGGAAATTCCTCGCAGCATTCATCTCTTTATTTACTATCGATCTCTTTGGCCGACGAAAACTGTTTCTCGTTTGTGGAGTTGGTATTACTCTGTGCATGATGTCAATGGCCGTTACGTCCGCCTTTTCCACGAACAATCGAGGTGCTTCAATTGCAAGTACATTCTTCGTTTTTCTATTCAATTTCTTCTTTCCAATCGGTTTCTTGGGCCCAAGCTTCCTTTACTGCACCGAGGTCGCTCCAAGCAGGCTGCGCGTGGCTATGACCTCTATATCGACCGCAAATCACTGGATATGGTATTTATACCCTTCCATTTACCATTTTTGGCTATTCTAATTTCTCTCAAGGAACTTTCTCGTGCAGATGGTCACACCTTTTGCTTTGTCAAGTATAGGATATAAATACTATATCATGTACTCGATTATCGGGCTTACATATATTGGATCGGTCTATTTCTTCTACCCTGAAACAATGGGCCTCAGTTTGGAGAGGATAGAGGACCTGTTTCAGCAAGACTTATCTATCCCTGAGACAGTTCGATTGGCTGATAGATGGGCTCGTTTGCCCCCGGGTGCAGATGTACACGGAGAAGAATCTAAGGCAAAGGTACAGCAGGTTGAACATTATGAAGATGAATCTGCGTGATTTCAATGATTCGAGCGGGCCCAGGAGTTACAAAGAGAGGAATATCAGATGGATTGAAACGGCCTGGCCTCAGGTGCTGTGTTTGCATTACTATTACCCTGCCTAGACTAGCCAGGCCTCGATAGAACCGCAAATGTACGGATTGAGGTTTATGACCGAGCTTTATGGGTATGTGCTTGAGTCATGGCCAGTCGCTTTCTGTTACACGTCCAGTTAACGTACGAAAGTGATTATATCTTCACAAAACAATTAACGGTAGTTAATCGTTCGGTGTGGGACCACAAACAATTCCTCGCTGATCTATCTATACAGCCTATATGGTTTTAAGCCCCTATAGTCATATACCCTTTTAATACTGAGCTTAGTACGTACGACCACAGGTTGTGGGGGCTGTATACTAAATAGAAGAACCTCGGATCCATGACCGCCGATTCTGTTAGCAGTGCCTAGGAATTGATGTATTTTACCGATTAATGCATTGGAAATACAATTACTGCATAAAACATAATCGGGCTTAGTGAGCGTAGTAGGGTCCAAACGCATAGAATGGGGGTCCTTTTAGTAAGGGCAATGTTAAAATGAACCCCCTCTTGTTGATATTCGGACCCCCTCTCCACCTGTCTAAGCCTAATTAGGGAAGGCGTAGTATGTGTATTTTACGGTGTCTTTTTTTCGTACAGTGACACAGCAAATGTTTTAAACCATTGGACAGACCGTTTTTAGACCTTTTATTAGACCGCTTTTTAGACCCCCTATCGTAAACCGAAGAGTAAGTCTATATCATCTTACTTTCTAAACGTTTTTGCTTTAGTGAGTGCTTTTTATAGAAGATAAGATTCAACTGTCACGGCGTGGCGTCTAGGGCGCGCACGCGTACAATTGTGCGTACTGAGTAGTATATATATCGGTCCTAGGCATGTTAGCCGTCAGACTGACATAGTGGTCTTTTTGGCCTAGTTGGTATACGTGTATTGACCTAGGTGCAAGTCTTCACACACCCTACGAGGCCTACTGTCTTCCTCTACGCCCTTTTGTTCATTTTTAGTAAGGAAATACACTATGAAATACACATACTAAGCCTTCCCTAATTAGGCTTAGACAGGTGGAGAGGGGGTCCGAATATCAACAAGAGGTGGGGTCCTTTTAACATTGCCCTACATTTTAGACCCAAGACCACGCACGCTATTACGCTTTGGTAGCATCAAAGAGACATCCTAGTTTGGTATCTCATCGGGCTCTAGGAAATTGATAGGCACAGCTGAATTCGTTGAAGCTACCCGGTGAATAAATTTTCTAGCCATTTAATTGCAATTCCAGAATTTCTCGCCTATTGCACGTAGATGTTCTCAAGAGCTAGTACGATGCCCACCACTCGCTCGCGGTTTGGTAGACCACTGTAACGAAACCAGTCTGGATCTGAAACAAGACCAAGTAAATTAAGCCACAATAGCCAGTCCACTGGAGCTGTCCCACCCTTCGCTCCTAGCTCAATGAAGAGATGTTTGCTCCATCGCTTCCGCCAAAACCAATCTGGTAACTTCCAACGAAACACTAGTAGCATTTCCTTCATGTCGTTCACATCATTCGGCGTATACTGCACCGGGCAGACCAATTCGGCGATCAAGATAGCAATTTCTAATGGAAGGCCGCTAAAACGACAAAGCGGAACAATGGCTTTAGTGCTTGAAAAACGCAAATTTTCCTCCTTGGCTCGAATGATTGCTTCTTGAACTGCACCAACAACGAGCGGACTTTGAAAGAAGTCACAGCCGTATTCTTCATTAAAATAAGGCTCGCCTGATCCGATCTTAGAGTCCAGTATATCTCCATAGGCCCCCCATAATTCGTTTCTGTGCCAGAATTTGCGGCAAGTCTGAACGACCTGGGCAAGGGCTGTTTTATTCAATTTCAGTCCTTCAATTTGACTGAAGAGCGCCCAGCAATGCGCGTGAACAATGTATCCAACCACGCTCCCTTCATAATGTCTGGGTTGTCTTGTAATGCTTGCGGCATAGAATTGAGTGAAATGAGTATCGTCATATCCGGCATATCTCGGACCGCCGATTCTGGCCATTGCTGGATCAGTTGGTGTATAGTAAGGGCCGTGGTCTAAGCTCAGCATATTTATCCCCGTCAGGCGGAATTTCCTATCAGATTCCTTGATTACTGTTCTTATTAGTCTGTCTTTGTAAAGTTGATTCCCAGTAGTGGAACAAGTACTCACTAGCTCGGCAAAACATGGACCACAGCCGCGGACAATCAGTGAAGCATGCCCCCTCTATCTCATGAGATGGCACAAGCATGTGCTGCTTGGTTTTCAAATTCCAACGAGCTATCCATTTTCTTCTCCTGCGTGACTTATCCTCCTTGCTGGTCTTATAGTCGACATCCGTAATTGCCACCCCACACAGGAGACAGATTGGCTCCGGATTGGGAGGGTTCGTGTTAGGATTAGGGTGAGTGATAGTCGGGCGCAAAAGAACCATATTGATTCGGTGAAGAGAAATCTGAAAGGGTGATGTATTGGGATAAGTCAGATCGTCAGAAGCTGAAATAATCTCTTAAGATGAGTGGGCATGTATGTATGACGGACTTTTTAGTCGCTCAAAAAGATTAGTTAATGATGATCCCTACAACGTCAATTCGATTATGTTCCTACTATAGGAGCAAGTAATGAGCCTCAAGATTGCCCATGCATTGAATAATAACTCTATTTATATTGTGGCATGAGATTGTACAAAACGAGAGAAGCTTAGCACAGCTGAAGTCTTTGGTCGGCAGTGAGCACAAGAGCATTCTCGAAATAACCTAAAGAGCTCTTACCGCGGGCGCGAGAAGATCACCCTTGTCGCGGCCAACGCGGAGATAAAAGTGAGATTCGGGGGAATCCTGGCCCTTTTACTGGGTGTGGTGCTGTTTATTTGCAAAGGGGGTCGACTGCGTCCGGTCCCATAACGCATCTGTCGATGTGTCCTTCGAGGATTCCCCCAGGCAAACATTAGATCCCTCCCTTCAGTAGCATTCGCCGCTAGGCGTGGATGCTCGATATATTATCGAATCCCTGTGTAGACAGTTAGAGTTATAGTACTGCTAAGTACCTTCCTCTTATAAATTAAATCCTCGATTATAACGATGCTCGCCGTCTACCTAAAGTAGACAGAATGTATAGATGTGAGACCACGCCTAGTCTGGGGGTCTAGATAGGTACCACCCACGCATATATACCCACGCTCTCTCTCTGTCTCTCTCTCCGTTCCCCTCCCCCCTTCTGCAAGTCTGTAGTCTTGTCACAAATGCTATCCTACAAGACTGACACTGAGCTACCGTCGTGATAGGAGATAAGCGCAGGGGTGTCTGATATACCCAGGTTGCTTCAATTTTCGCTGATTGGAATATATGAATTGTAAGCTTGTGCGCGAATGACGATGCCATGACAGTTGCCGCTGCTGTTTCAAGCAATACGTCACTATTTTATGGGTACTGACCACAGCAAGCTGCTACGACAAAACAGAAGTGTGCATCGAAAATGATATAAGTGGACTTTTGGCATTAGGTAGCACCGCAACTAACAATCAACTTCATGCGTCTCGACAATATGGCCTTGATAGCTTCCAAAGAATCACAAAGACCACGAGACGATGAATTCCGACAGAACGACTCCCTCCTATGGAAATTATTAGTGTTTTTTGTTGAATTACAACACAAAGTAACTCACCAGATGGTAGGCCGGGTCTGGATTTGAAGCGGTGATTTCCAGAAAGAGTTGATGTGTCTCTTTCCTAGACTTGTTGATAGATTGGAATAAACTAAATATGGTGGTGGGGATGGGGTTGATATGTTTCGAGATGAGCCCCGCGAGTGATTGCAGCGTCACCAGAGAGACCACCCCTGTGGTGTTTCCCGCGACTGAGGCCTCAGAGGGGAATTTCTTGGTGATCTTGGCAGAGACATTGATCATACAGTAGACAAGGCGACTTTGGTGCCGCCTGTACTTGGGATATGCGTTTCGGTCCGTCATGATAGGATGGTGTCAAGACGGGATGGTTTTGGGGTTGAAGGGAAGATGAACTGTGTAGGTGAATGGTTGAAGAAAGGATTCACCAACATGGGGGAGCTTCACGCCTCAGTATCAGGTCACTTACTCTAGGTACCGTTGCCTACCACCACCTTCTCTCGGTCAATGTCTCTATACATCGTCACAGCACAAGCCCGTACACAACTTCACGCTCCATCTTTATATCACCTTATGTATTGCTTAATCTACAAGTCGGTCGTTTTATGGAGCCAGCATTATATCAAGAAAAGATACATGGGTGATTTTAGTGTGCATACCATCTAGAAAACTAAGTCGGCGTCTACAGACTAGCCGAATGAAGTCGTCATTTAATCCCAAGTCTCGAGATATTGTATACAGCTTCGTTGAAGTAGAGCACAAAGGAATGTACTACACAGATAGACAGGTTGAATGCTTCTTAGATGGTACTTACTTTTCCCTCTTTTTTCATTTGCAATTCAATGTCTGTCAATTAGTACTCGCTCATGCATTACTCCGAGCTCCAACACATCCCAACTCATTCCTGTTCTTTCAAGGATTTCAGGCCTTCGCAACCATATTGCAAAAGTCTCCACAAGAAACCAAAGACCAGGAGCCTCTGGTATCAATAAGAATTGTAGTAGCCACGTGGAAACTGCAAGGTAGAGCAAATGGACACGCGTACTTCCAAAAGGAAGCAAGCGAACGTAGTGAAGTTAAGCACCATAGATGAAGGGCTTCCGGTTTTGATTGAGCTCCGCGGCAGGAATCTTCATGGGAACGGGGATGGTGTCCTGGAATAGCTCCACGGGGAGAGGAGCAGGGGCATCGTCATTCTCGAAAGATATCTCAGGCGCTTTGTCCTTCCCTTTACCCTTCTCCTTCGCTTTCTGATTGTCATTTGGATCAGTGCTCTTGTTGATGACCGGGACGATCACGCCACATTCCCAGTTGCGGCAGTTCATTTTGTACTGATTGGTTTTGGGTTCCTTGGTAAGACGGCCCCTGGTTTGTATTAGTACAGTTCAAGTAGGCGAGTATATCACTGATGTAAGAATATACGCACCAAGCACTCTCCGACAAGTTGGCACTTCCCACGTAAGCCCATCCCCGGCATTCATTGTTGTCTGGCAGAGGGATTGGCTTGGAACGGTGGACATAGGCAAGCTGTGTATCAATATATATTAGCGCAAGGAGCCCTGAGGTCAGGCTGTAACTCACCTTGTTATGCATCAAAGATCCCCGCAAGCTCTCGCAATCCCTCAGTGCTCGCCGAGGGAAATCCTCCTTCATCCACCACTTTGGATTAAAGCAGATCGTGCCCGCAGTATTATCGGGGTTTTGGTGTGACGCTCTCACGGTTTGGTCGGATGGGAAATAGATGCGGAAACGCTCCAGGCACTCTTTGTTGGTTTCATTCACGAGTTTTTTGTGAGCTTCGGCCCCCGATTTGGTGGGTTTCGTACGGAGAGTGTAGTCCAGTACACCGTCCTCACCTAGAGATAATCCGTTAGACCATGTGTGCCAATTGTCCTGATGTAAAGGGGAACATACCTTTACAGGCGAGGTAGATCGATCGTAGGAAGCCAGTATTTAGGCTTCCCATAGACGATGTCTGGTTATCCACATGAGTAATTCAGTAACGCAAAGGGTGAAAGAAGATCACTAACGACGTAGTCAATGTTAACCGGCGAGTGTGAATTTAGCCCGAGAGTTTTCAGGGCGCGACCTAGGCCGCAGTATCCCGTTCGCCGCCACGATTCTCCGGTGTTGACTCCGCCGCTTTTATTTTAAGCTGAAGTTTTCGCCCAAGGTTTGGAGATGGAAGATACTTACATTGTATGAACAAACGCATATCGTACAGTTTCACTGAAGTCATATTCTTCCAGTTTTTCGATCACGTTGCGGTGAAGAGTAGTGGCCTCAAGGAAGTACACCAGCTCTTCATAAAATGGAGTTTGGGATTTCTGGGTGGAGATCCCAATCTTGGGCAGATCAATAAGAAATACGGTCTGCCATGTTGTTAGAATCACAAAGAAGAGGTGGAGGGAATCTATAACGAACATTTTCCATCAAACTTTCCCTGCCCCAGTCGAAGGAAGTAAGATTTGCAGTGGGAACTGCAATCCGCAGGTATGTGGTATGGAAGAACAGCATGAGCTTCGAGTGCATGCAAAATACCTGCGAATCCATGGGTGGGAAACACAGACGAACGTTCTTAATATCAGCAGTCTCCGAGATGTATTGGTCTCGCTTCAATATTATTAGTCTGTATCAGCCCTGGGGGAGAATTTTCTTACCAGAGATTGATCATTCGCCTGCATAACAAGCATAAATCTAGTCCTCTGGATATCAAGCTTCGTGAACAGCCACTCCATATCCCACAAAAACGAGCTGAAGATAGCGAGCTCTAGCTCGCTTCGTTGGATGACTTCTTCGATGGTGATATCATTTCCCTGGCGGGGAAAGCCATCTAGAGCCGTTTTCTTGACGGCGCCGAGAGGCCACTGGATCATGGGGCGGGCAGTTGGCTGGATATCAAGACCCGGTGCATTTGCCGCAGTCTGGGGGCAGACATATGTGCGTTGTTTGGGAACAGCATCCGCTCGAGGGATGGGACTTGGCACAAGATGCTGCTGAGAAATAACTGGCTGACGAACCGAAGGAGACTCCGTTGAAGGAGGCGCGACTTTGGGAATCTTTCGATGGGGTTGGATTTCTGGGGAAGCTGCATCGTCGACGGCCTTGCGCTTAGCAAGACGAGCGAGACGTTCTTGTTCCATCTGCTTTCGGTCAAGTCCAGACAGTCCCACTGGAACAGAGCTAGCCTGAGTAGCAATGGAAGTCATGTCAGGTTTCTTGTCTTCGGGAACCTTGTCCTTGTTGTTGGTGTTGTTAATCTCCAAGGACATGGCCAGAGCTCGTTGTAGCTCCTCATCACCATGATCATCTTCCGCCTCAGAGCTGACCACAGACTTTGACTTAGGAAAAACCTCTTGAATATCCGAGTCGTTATCAGAATCGGCGGTCAAATCCACAAAGGTGGGATGGGATGCTTTGGATGACTTGTCATGCTGACCAGGCTCCATCTCCCTTCGAGAAGCCTCGATAGCGGCCCTCATCTCGTAATCATCTGTTTCATGCATTTTCGCACGCTATTGTGTGCCGATCGATAAGATCGGAGACGATGAAAGACCGATGAAACAATGAACAATGATGGAAGGTTTATGTAGGAGGCTCTCACGACGGTATCAGCAAGGTGCAGCAAAAGACATATGAGCTGCACTTGCAAGGGTGTTAAAATCGATAGCGAGGTAATATATGTGAAAATTCAATACGCCTTTCACATTTTACTGTGTTGCTCTCGCTGTCGCCGTGGAACCCCTGTCTGTCGACATGTGATCACGTGGTGGCCATCCCGCGATATCAAAGCATATGTTTTATCGGTTTCCCCTGCTTATGTTTTTATTAGCTTCCGGCTCAGTTGATCGGTTATATTCTAATTAAAGGTCTGATGTACTGCACTATTTTCGTTGATTCCGGCGCTATATACGTACAGCCAACTATGTCTACTAAAAATTCACTCTCGTTGGAATCTGGCGCTGGGTTCTCGTTAATAAACGGAATGTTCTTCATTCTGACCGGCAGAAACATCAACTGTTCTGGAAAACCTCATCGATACGAGCTTTGTGCATGTGCCATTGAGATGGAGAGAGGGCCATTCGAGAGACTCAGCTGGGAGACTAAGAGACACATTCTTCAGACGGCAAAGACCAACTGAGCCAAACATATTTACCCACGCGGTCTCTGATCGACATTCTTTTGCTGATGTCTGGAGGTGGTAGATGTCAGCCTGGAGCCGTCGGGTAGCTCCAAGCGGTTCTTGTCGTTCCATAGTCATCGTATCCGGTAAAACTGGATATTTAGAGTATCCTGCACCGCTGTTTCATTGACCTCGCATATCCGTGACAATGGATGCAAATTTTTTAAGTTGTTCATCGCCGAGCACAAATCCCTTGCTCATTTCACCATGCAGATGTGGGCATTTGATTTCAGGTCTGTATGTTGTGGCTTTTTCTTCGTTCAGCGATCAAATCAGATGCATTGTAGCACAAGATCGACAATCGCGAAGAATGCATCTCGATCAGCGGTTGCTTGGCCAAGTCCCAGGCCGACAACGAGCAGCCGACTTTCACTGGGCGTTTTCGTAGCAATGGCAGTTGCAATTTGACGAGCGAGGAGCTGGCCAGTTGTATCTTGTCCAGGAGAGTGGCCACCCAGTAGAGTGGTTGAGGTCAAATTTTTGAAAGGCAAGAGGTTATCCTCTCCCTCGGGCATGGTGTGCATACCCTCAGTGCCGGGGTTGAGGTTCTCCATTGGTACGTGCAACTGTAAGAAATTAGCGAAGCTCACAATTCAATACATTCCTACATACCCAGTGTGCTAGTCGACCTGCTTGTGAGATCGTGACCATGATCTTATCGCTGAAGCTCATTGTCATGACATCTGTTTGGACCCCGTTTACCAACCCCGCAACCTGTTTTGTGGCCGCCGGAAAAGGGAGGACAAGGGATTCCTGCAAGGCATTGACATCAAATGGTGCAGCCATAATAATGAAGGTCTTTTATTTCTATATGCAAAGTCAAGAGGTGATAGAAGGTACGTTGTTCGACAAGTGTCTCACTGGTTCAAAGGCGGTCAGGCACTTCCCCACAGCCAACTCGGCAGTATTACACCGCCTCGATTTTTTTCCAGCAACGAAGAACAATTAGCTCGCAGCTCTCGGTTTCTAGCTATTTGACTTTTTTGGCTGTGGCTGTGGTATTTCAGTATGCCGCCCAAGTTTACGCCACGTCTGCGAAAGCAGAAACACCGGCAAGCCCAGGCCAATGAGCAGGCCGATACCAACGCCGCGCAGCTCGAGCCGGTCTCCAAGGACGAGAAAGAGGCACGACGACAGAAGCTGCAGGAGGAACTACGGGAACAGCATACCAATGTCTCCGCAAAGAAACAAAAGCGTCTAGACAAGTATATTGTATGTGAGCCGCTCGCATTGGAAGAATGGCTCTAACATTCCGCAGGAAAACAAACTTCGAAAGGAAGAGAACATCGAATTGTTGAAGAAACTCGCCAAATCCTCGGTCGATACCTCTTCACTGCAGAGTTCTAAAGATTTGGGCAAGCGCAAGAGACAGGAAGACGAATCACTCCTACCGAAGCTTGGTCAAGCAGCGAAACGCGATGCTCCCGCCGACCTCTCCGGAGATGAGACCGACGACTCGGATGTCCATCTCAAGGTGTCCGACCCCGCGACAGACCCGGAGGTGGAATCAAAGACACAACCTGATGTAGCTGTTGGTAGTGGATTGAAGCGGCCTCTGGAGCTCGGGCCTGATGGATTCCCGGTTCTCAAGAAGCGCAAGCGCGCACCGAAGAAGAAGCCCGCACCTAAACCTGCACCAGAGGTTGCATGGGAGGGCTTCGATTCAGATGAGGAAGAGGGCGAGGACGACGAGGAGGAAGATGTGAGCGACAAGGACGAGGCTGGGTCCGAAAGTGATTTTGAGGAGGGTTCTGAAGATGAAGTGGGTACTTCCTCCGAGGGCTCTTCGGAGAATGAAGATGACTCTGAAGATGAAGAGGACGAAGACGAGGACGAAGATATGGACGACGAGTCTGCAAAGATCCAACCGCGCCAGTCAGCCTTCAAATCTTGGGCGGTTCAACAAATCAACGAAGCAGTGGGTTTCAAACCGAATGACGGCGAGGCCATCTCCCAGCAAGAGCAGGTATTCGACCCATCCAAATTGCCGCAGAAGGTCAGCGAGGAAGAGCCTCTTCCCCGAGAGCTCCAGGTTACCCATGGCGATCCCAACCGCAAGGCATACAGTGTCCCGGTGGACCGCTCGGAGGAGATCCAAGCCGCCCGTCTCGGTCTGCCTGTCGTCGGCGAGGAGCAGAAGATCATGGAAGCTATCCACAACAACTCCACCGTGGTCATCTGGGGTGCTACTGGTAGCGGGAAAACAACTCAGCTTCCCCAGTTCCTCTTCGAATCTGGTTTCGGCAGCCCAGACAGCCCGAACCCCGGTCTTATTGGTGTCACGCAGCCTCGACGAGTTGCGGCCGTAAGTATGGCAAACCGTGTGTCCCAAGAACTGGGTCAACATGCCGACAAAGTCTCATATCAAATTCGATTTGAGAGCACTGCTTCCAAGAAAACCGCTATCAAATTCATGACTGATGGTATCCTGTTGCGAGAGATTGCGGATGACTTTGCCCTCCGTAAATACTCTATCATCCTCATTGATGAGGCTCACGAGCGAAGCGTCAACACCGATATTCTGATTGGAATGGTCAGTCGTATCGTTGATCTGCGCAAGTCGTTGAGCGAGGAGGATCCGTCCGTGAAGCCCTTGAAGGTCGTCATCATGTCGGCCACTCTGCGAATCTCCGATTTCACTGAAAACGCGAGTTTGTTCCGCCATGGTGCACCTCCCTTGGTTCAGGCCGAGGGTCGGCAGTACCCTGTCTCTGTGCATTTCTCTCGCCGCACTCAGCGCGATTACGTTGAGGATGCGTTCCGCAAGGTATCCCGTGGACACCGCAAGCTACCTCCCGGTGGAATGCTTGTGTTCTTGACTGGACAAAATGAAATTCGCCAGCTTTCCAAGCGATTGAAGCAGGCTTTCAAGCCAACACAGCGAGGAGATACTACGAACGCAAAGGTGCAGCTTTCGGCCAACGAAGCACCTCTGGAAGCCGAGGATCTAGAGCTGGGTGAGACAGAGATGGACAATACTGGCGTTGACGATTATGACAGCGACATGGAAATTACAGGCCTGGATGACGAAGAGGAAGACGACGGCTTCGATCTCGGCGAAGAGGCTATGGACTCATCAACACGCGTCCACGTTTTGCCTCTCTACTCGCAACTCCCCACAAAGGAACAGATGAAGGTCTTCGAGCCGCCACCAGAGAACTCTCGTCTCATCATCCTCGCAACCAACGTTGCTGAAACCTCTTTGACCATCCCCGGCATCAAGTACGTCTTCGACTGCGGTCGAGCCAAGGAGAAGCAATTCGATCTGTTCACAGGTGTCCAGAGCTTCCAAATCGGCTGGATCAGCAAGGCCAGCGCAAACCAGCGAGCCGGTCGTGCCGGTCGAACAGGCCCAGGTCACTGCTACAGAATGTACTCATCTGCAGTATACGAAGGCGAGTTTGCCGAATACACCGAACCCGAGATCCTGCGCACACCCATCGAAGGCGTCGTCCTCCAGATGAAGAGCATGGGCCTGCACAACGTCATCAACTTCCCCTTCCCAACACCCCCAAGCCGCCAGGGTCTCGCAAAGGCCGAAAAGCTCCTGAAGAACCTCGGCGCGCTCTCAGCCGACGGCCAAGTCACCCCAATCGGCCGCCGTCTCTCAACATACCCGCTCTCCCCACGGTTCAGCAAGATGCTCCACATCGGCCACCAGCACGGCTGCATGCCCTATGTGATAGCCCTAGTAGCAGCCCTTGCAGTGGGCGACCTTTTCATCCCAGAAAACCAACTGGACCCGAACCCCCCAGCCCCCAAAAAGACCAACGACGACTCAGACTCGGACTCAGATGTCGAAAAGAAACAAATCTACACAAATGCAGACCGCCTCGAAGACACAGAACGCGAACAACGCAACAAAGCCCACGCCCGCGCCCACCGCCTCTTCAGCAAACACGACGACACATCCGACGCCCTAAAAGCCCTAAGCGCAATCTGTGCCTACGCCTACGCCTCGGACGGCGAAGCGTTCAGCGACAAAATGTTCCTCCGCGCAAAGGCCTTCAAAGAAGCAACCCAGCTCCGCCGCCAACTAACTGACATCGTGCGCTCCAACAACCCAGGCCAAGTCCCCGATTACCAACCCCGCCTCCCAGAACCATCCGCCAAACAAATTAAAGCGCTCAAGCAAATCGTCACAGCTGGTTTCATCGATCAGGTCGCTATCCGCGCTGATCTGGCCCCCGTCCCGCCGGAGAATCAGCGCGCCTCCCGTCGTGCCATCGACGTGCCGTATCTTACCCTCTTCCGCTCGCGCGATGGGAGTGGACATCAGGAATTAGCGGAGCGTGCTGTTTACGTGCATCCGTCTTCCCTACTGGCTAAACTATCGCCGAGGGAAATGCCCCAGTATATCATCTACTCGCATCTGCAGCAGTCGTCTGCGGCGTTGGTGACTGATGCCCTGCCGAAGATCCGTATGTTCCCACTTGTCGTCCCCAGTGGACTTCAGCTTGCTGCTATTGCGCACGATACGCCGCTTATTGAGTATGGGAAGCCGATTGGGAAGGCCGATGCGTTGGATGGCGTCCCGCCTAGGAGGTCGTGTTGGGTTGTTCCCTCGCTTGTTGGCGATGCTGGGAGTACCGGTTGGCCTATGCCTGCTAAGAAGGTTGTTCAGAAGAAGGACCCCAAGGCTGGGTGGGTTATTGAGAAGTTTGTTGCTTGATGGATCTCTTTTTTGTTTTGCATTTGGTGTATATTATAGATGAGATGAGATTACGATATCCAGTTGTTCATTTGGTCATAAAGTTACTCACAGCATGGACATAGCATGATAAGAATGCAAGAGGAAGAAAATATGAATACAATTGACTCATTCCAAGCCTATCAATCTAACACCAAAGACACCATACGACCCAAGAACAACAAGAATGCAAATGCATATCCATCCATATCCACGCCACAAATCAAGCAATCAGATAGGTATCTAATCCCTCTCCCTCCTCCTCTCCCGATTATCCCTCGAATCCCTAGAACTAGAAAGCTCCCCCGTCTCCCGATCCTCCCGAATACCCAGCGCCCTCCTCAACCGCTCACTCTCCTCAATCTTCGCCTCAGCAAGCTCATGAACCTGATAAGACTTAAGATGCCTCTTATCCCTGCCCCCAGCAGCAGGCTTCTTAAACACGCCACTCCCACCCCCGCCCTGAAGCTCATCTTCCAGCTCCTTAAGTAACCGGACCCGAAGAATCTCGCACCGCGCATCAATTTCTTCTTCTGTAAGGACCTTCTCTTCACCATCGTCTGCGTCTTCGCCTTCCTCTTTATCACCCTCCTCCTTGTCCTTTTTAGAGCTTGTCTTCGACTTGCTGTTTTTGTTCTTGGCCAGCTCCTCCTCAATCCTCTCATTGACCTCCTCAAGTCGATCTCTCTCCTCCATGACGCGCACCTCGATTGCGCGCTTCCGATCATGTTCCAGGATCTGCTTGTCTGGTAGACGTTGCTTGAAGGGGCGATCCATGGGGCTGCTGCCGTTGGCGCCGCTGACTGGTGGGTATGGGGCGCCATAGCCTGTGTTGCGGGGTTTGATGAAGGCGGAGTTTTTTTGGACGTAGCCTGATGTGCCACTTCCCCTTGGGGTTGTTAGGCCGACATTTGAGGACATTTTGGGTGGTTGGTTGTGGTTGTGGTTTGGTGGTGGTTTGGTGGTGAGGTGGTTAGGTGTTGTATAGGTTGTTGTTCGGTTGATTGCTGGCCACACAGATGTATTCAGTCTGCGACGATGTAACGCGCTATGGGTGGCGCGCGGAAGATATGCGGAGGGGTTTTCCGCTGGGGGGTAACTTGGCTGAGGGATGGAGATCAAAATGCGCCATTGGTCTTATCAGTCACGTGGTGATAAGGCTATACTATGCTGAGAGTCTCAACCATATACTGTACGAAGCAAGTTAAGCAGATATGATAAAAGGAAGTACGGACAATGTAACAATCTTTTAAGCTCTCTTGCATTATTACTACTTCCATCTATCTGGACGTGGTCACAAGACCTAGCGAAAAATAAAATCAAGTCATAATGCATTGGTAATACAGCCACAGCAAGAAAGGAAACGGGGGGACATTATTAGAGTGTGAGCAAGACAAGGACAGGGGTGAGGAAGAGAATATCAAGGTGACAGGGGTGGCAACAAACATGTCAAGCAACACTTTCCATTCTGGAGAACGTAGATCGTGAGATTGTATAGCCTAGTCTCGACTGACACGAGGCAGGCTCAAACAGAACAAGTCTAAGGATGGACATAGTGAGCAGAGATCGGGATGTACCGGCAGGTCCGAGATCACATTTCTAGTCGATGTGGATGTTCAGATGAAGAAGTCACATAACATGGACCGTCCGACTGGACCTTAGGATGGGTTAAGTGTAAAAAGAAGCCGAGCTAAGCTGTGCTGTTTGTTTGTGTCATGAAGGTCATGCAAGTAGATAGAATCTTTTCTCGTATTTCGATGAAGGAAATCGTACCGGGATCAATCGAGTCGATCCGGCGAATGTGTCTGATTGAAATTCCTGATAAGTCCCCCTGTGCCTTCAAACCATGACCATGAACCCAGACCTTGACCCGTAACAATAAACAATAGATAAATGAGACAAACAGGAAATAAGACAAGACGAGAAACACAAGACGCCATTTCATAGATTTGATCAGATCTGATCCTTGGACCAGTATCATAGACAGCGAAGGCATTGACAAGATGGGTGGTGAAACACCGTCGTAAGAGTAAATGAACATTTCAAGAAAGGACATGGAAAGAAATAAGAGGTTGAAAATAAGACATAGGAATCGACAGGTCCGAGATCGACAAGAAACAAGAAATAAAAACAAATTCCGGCCCTATTGTTGCGCCGACAAGCCATGTTGGTAAGGGGAGAATCACATAAGACGTTGGTGAGATATATCCGCGCGGGATTCCCCTGTATGTATACGCTCCATATTAGATAAAGAACAAGAATGTTGACTCGGCTCCGATCAGATTCGGATTAGAAATATTATGTTGGGCGAGCAAGTGGTAATGTGTGCAACGAATTAGTGGGCACTGGTGACATCGACCGAGACGGTAACACCGGTGCTGCCCGTCTCGGGACTGGAGACCGAGGTCACTGTGCTTTTAGCGAGGCCCTTGGTCTCGAGGGAGCTATCGACCGTGCTCTGGGGGTCTGTGGGGGGAGGTGTGGGGGGTGCGTTGCCCACAAAGGCCCGTGGCTGTTCCGTGGGGAGTGAGCGCTTGATGGGTTGAGGAGAGGACTTGTGAGAGTTAGGGGGAGTGGTCGAGGTAGTGTGGGACATAGGCACGGTCGCAGGGGAGTTTGGGTCGAAGATGAGCTTTTCAATAGCGACAATCTGCTTGCCGTAGCTGAACTTCTTCAGCTGGCTGAGAAGCGGCTTGATCTGGTCAATGAGCGCTTCACGCTCTGCCTCCTTGAGTTGACCGAGGACCTTTTCTTTAGAGGGGTTAGTATAGATTGCGCCAAGGGAGGGAGGTACTTACGGATAACGTAGTTTCCATACTGGTCACGCATGAGACCAAGCAGAGGGCTCTCCCCACGGTCGTTGGGAGATGTCAACGTAGAGATGATATGGTGGCGCTCATGTGGCGCACCGAACTCGATACTCTTTTCAACAACGTTGCTAGCAAACTTGTGTTTGGAGTAAGCGAGGAGCTGACCCATGACAATGTCAATCATGCGAGTGCGGTCCTTTTCATCACCGTTCTCAATCACATGCTGGATGACATAGTTGCCGAACTGATCAGGAATCAAGTTGGATGTGCAAGCGTGCAGCTCAGCCAGAATGGACTGGCGGTCGACCTCCTCACAGTGCTCCAGCATTCTCTGGATGACGCGGCAGCCGTATGGGTGGGCAGCAAGACGGTTCACCTGTCCGCGAAAAGCGTTGATGATGAACTGGACATACTGCGAAGGAACACGCTCGATGGCCTTTTGGATAACATGGTTACCATTCTGGTCACGGACACACTTCAAGACGTGGTTCTCCAGCTCCTTGACCATGGCAGATTGCTGGTCGGTGAGGATATGCTCGAGAGCCTTTTGCACAACGCGGCATCCGTACATCTGAGTAGACAGGGCCAATACGTGGCCGCGCATCTGGTTTGCCAGAATTTTCTTCTGGGTCTGGTTGCCATGCTCGAACAACTTCTGGACGACGTAGTTTCCGAAGACGTCAGTCATCAATTGAAGGCAGTTGGGCTGAATCTCGCGGAACACCTGCTCCTTCTCATCACTGTTCGCAGTCTCGAGCTTCTGCTGGATGAAGCGCGATCCGTGCTGATCTCCGCTGAACTCAACAACATGGTTGTAGATGTCCTTCAGCTCATACCGCTTGTTCCCCTTGCTGTTGGCGCGGAACTCTTCAAGAAGGGGGCTGCGAACAACCTGGGTGGGGTCATGGTCGCGTTGATTCCGAGAGACCAGAGCAGTTGCGCCCAGTCCACCCAGGTGAGCCACAGGGTAGAATCCTGACAGAGCGTTGAGGCGAGCAGTCTGGTAGCCTTGGTAATCATAAGCAGGGGAATACTGCATGCGCTGGCCCGCATTAGCAGAAGCTTGGGCAAGCTCCTGTTCATGGAGGGTGCGCAGTCGACGCTCGAAGGCAGCCGCCTGGCTATCAGCAACGCGACCCCCGGCATTCCGGTACTGGGCAGTGCCATCCACACCGGTGTAAATAGGGCTATCCATGCGAGCGTAGTCCGAGGGCGAAATGGAGCCGGTATCAGCAGTGCGAGACCGAGCTTGATACGCAAGGTGCATGTCCTGTGCGGCTTCAGCAGTGTAGCCTAGTCCTTGGTAGGCAGCATCGTCGTTATTCTGATACTTCACACGAGGAAATGTGCCATCGAAGGAGGCGTGGGCGACGTAAGCAGGGCGCTGCACACCCTGGGGGTAGTTACCGTCGAGCTGAAGCTTGTTGAATCCAGAGTTGAGATCCATGGAGCCGCCATAGCGGCCATCGACGCTGTGGTTTTCCGAGTAGAAAGAAGGATGAGCGGAGTGAGCTGGCCGTTGAGCGGCGTAGGAAGCAGAGTTGTGAGAAACGTGAGAGAGACTGCTGCGGCCTTGGGGTGGAGAGATGGAATCCTGGATTCCAGAGCCTAGCGAGGAGATCCCCATGGAGGCGGCCATGTCATCCTGGCGCGCGCCTTCAAGCGCGTTCGGGAATCCAGCTTTGACGGGAAAGGTCGTTCCCACAGGACTTCCCCCAAGACCGGAGTTCATCTGTCGTCGACCAGCGAATCCACCAAATGTCATGCCATCGCCGGACGGGGAAACACCCTCAGAGGCAGCGTTAAGGTATGGACGCTGGCTTGCGGTGCCAGCTGAGGTGCCGATGCCAGTAGTGCGAGGAAGAGAAAAGTAGGAGCTATCACCAGCCTCGTTCATGACGGGCGCGCTGCGGTCATTGGCACGCGTCTGAATCGGAGAGGTGGCCAGGCCACGGTTTTGGAAGGTAGAGTTGCCACTATTGACAGTACTCCAGGGAAGGTTGGCGCGTCCTGACCAGCCATCGGACTCCGATGTCGACAATAGAGAGCCTGAGCCTGACTTGCCTTCGAAAGCTGTCTCGCTGATGTGTTGATCTAGCGCACGTCAGTATAAGCTTCCACCACGACCGACGATCACTTACCATCTCCGAATCCGCCTAGGTTCGAGTCACCCCAGATGTTGTTGTTCCAGGTAGACTTCCCAGCGCCGAAGCCCTTGCCGACATTGTTGCTGTGAGATCCGCGGTTGCGGTCGTTCATCCCTGATGAACCCATGTTGGAAGCCCGGCTTGCCCGTACCTGCACCGACGTTATTATTGATCCAATGGCTCCCAAGTCGCATCCCACTCACGTTATGTACGCTGGTTGCATTGGCGGACATCGTAGAAGCCATCCCAGGAAATCTCCGATCGGCGGATCGACAGTCGATATGTGCTCGAACGGCGAGCGACTATTTGCAGAAAGATCGAGGTCTGTTTTTAAATCACAGAGCTAAACGATGGACCGAAGTCGTTGTCGGCCAGTATTTGCAAGCGGGCACCAGGCACCAGAAACGGCGTACACGAAGGAATATAAGACTGTGAAAAGAGCGACCCTTGTTAGCTACTGTTGGATAGAGGTTGCATTGGGATGCCAGGTCTTGAGGAGCCAGGGTAGGGTGTACAGGGACTCACCAAAGGAGGGGACGAAGGGTGGAAAGAACGAGAGAAAAGCCTTGAATCTTCACAACCCAAGGACATGTACAGATTATACAGGGATCACGAAGAAGGGAGACGGAAGGGAGGAGCTCAGAGGCGAGAAATGCTGGAGGTGGCAGAAACGGTCGGGGACAGCAGATGCAAGGTGACAAAGAATTGGAACGATATTATCACCCTTTCTGTTTGTCGCTGCAGCAGTGTGGGGAGGGGCCAGAGTTGGCAGCCGGAGGGTTCTGAAGGAGGCGTCGCGACGTTACTCTGCTCCGTGCATGCTCCAGGAATCTCCCAGTTTGCAGATCGCCGTAGGACGATCCCCGAGAATGGAGTTAGGGCCCTGATAGGCAAGGGGGATGTAGTAAGTGGAATGCGCTTCGATGAAACTCCCAGAATCTAGTGGGTCGATTGATGAGAATGTGGAAGAGAGGGCATTAATGTAGGTGCAGCTGTCACACAAGCGCCTGACAGCCCAAGCAGGTATAATGGGAATTCCTTTTGTGGCGGGTAAAAAACAAAGAGAGAAGGAGAAGGAGAAGCAAAGGGGGGAAGAAAGAAAGAGGAAAATGCGATAGATAGGAAAGAAAAATGATGCGAGTTTGAAGGATGATCAGCCGCTGTATTGCCCGTAATACGATGACGATGAAGAAGGTCGATCCTGGCTGATGGCTTGGGGTACTTGCACCACTAGCAAATTAATATGGTGGTAGAAGTACCCTGACCCGATCACAATACATGGCTTGGGTTTCTGACGGTCACCGCGATCTCCCTCCCGGCGCTTCTTTTTAGCCCCTCCCAGTTACGATTTACATTCTCGCAATTAGGTCCAATATAGGTCACGAAGAGCTGGAATATAGCTATATCCCATGGTTGACTCACTGGCATTAACAACTCGACCCTGGAACATGACACTAAACTGATTCAGGGACACCATTTTTACCTGGTTGAACGAGAAACCCTGAAGTCACAGAGAGTTTGATACCGGCCAATAGTTCCTAGCCACTACTTCCTCCCTGGCATGTGTTGACTTTCCATGGGCGAGGAGATCCAGGGTCAGAGCATACCAGCATCACAGTGCCGAACGGAGCCGACTATATGTACTCACTAGACCAGCATAGATAGAGAAGCTTTATAGTTCCCGGCAATCAACTTGGCCCGGAAGGTTTGCTGCGGGCCCACTGGACCCTCATAGATTAGTTAAAAGTAGTTAAAGTAGTTAAAAGTGTTACGCTTATTCCCTCTCTATATCCTATGTCTATATTGACATTCTTAGGTCATTCCAGGTGGTGAGGGGTTTATTTGTATATTATTTGTATGTTATTTGTATATCATTTGTATATCATTTGTTATTTGATTTGTATATTGTTTGTATATTCTTTCTATGTTAATATCACTGTTTATCTCTGTTTCTTGTTTCCCCTTCAACGATCTCCAATAGTCTCATAGTAGATGCAAATAAGTTACTGTAAAGAAAAAAAAAAGGTTTGAGAAACTTCCATAGACTCGGCCAGCCCCTTACTTCACTTCGTCACACTGACCCTTTGACCCAAAGGGTCTGGCATTGGAATCGAGCATCTGTCTGGCACTGGTATCTGCCACGGTATCTGCGGCATCTGACACTCCAGGGCTGGTATGGATCTGGCATGTTCTGAACAGTCATTGTCGTGTAATTTCAGGCGACATTGAAAGGCCGAGACAGGGGATGCTGATCCTTGCACAGGGGTCGCACAGGGCGAGTGTCAGACCATCACTCGCAGCAATTGATTTCCCCGGATCTCTGGCTTGCCTTGCGTCCGATTGCCGCCCACTAGATCGCTCTGTTGCGCGCTCCCTTTGGGGCTTCGTTTTTACCCGTGATCGGCTTTTTCTCCGGAACTGTGACAGGTCACGTTTTGTCTGTTGTAGTGTGTGTGTTGGCCTCTTGACCGCATTATAAAGGCTGCAGTGTGGGACAGGTCATTGTTGGTAAATTGACATGGTGGCGTACGGAGTTGGTTGGGTTCTTGATCTTAAGTGTCAGGTCTTGGCGGGTAGATGTACTTCAGTAGGTAGACTCGGGGGTATTTGTATTTGATCAGGTCTTGGATCTGATGAGTGATTCGTCATTATTGACACTGTTAGCTCCCAATATTCTCTACCACTACTGTATAAACACTTCAGTGACAAACCAAATGCCAACACTTCTTACTGCCTGACCATGAAGTACGGTCATGCAGTCGGGCAAGAGAGTGTTTCAAAATACACAGCCCCATTAGCAGTACAGCTACTGACTTTGATGCTCAATAAAATGCCCGGGTGTACTGTATATTTGGCCACGGACACGGGGTACTGGACTGTAGTATACTCCTCAGCCGCAGCCCGATCCCCGACAAGATCAAAGCACTCTACTAAATATAAACTGATGTAGTGGACTACAGTTGACTACAATAATGACTACTGGGTACAAGAACACTGCACCAGACCGCGTGCCTAGTGCGGTGTGTTGCCGATGTGGCGGTCAAATCATGCGAGATGGATACATGCAGATGAAGTGATTGATACATCAAGCATGTGGCAAACACAGTTGAAAGATCCTGTATATCAAATGAATGTGTCTAGATATGCTTAACTTACCTAGCAGGCTATTGAGTCCAAACTGTCCGAGTCGGAACGTTGTGTGGAGGTGGTGGAGGTTGGTGGTTATATATTTCGCATCACCCGCGTTGTGAACATAAGCCGGAGACTTCAGCTACTTCTTCTTTTCTTTGGATATGGATAGTCGAATAATGTGATACACCATAACTGACTGTTCGTCGGCAAAATCTTACACAATGACTAATTTCTATCAGTTTTGCATGTTGGTGCCTAGGTGGCTATGATGTGAACTTGGTTAGGCGCCCACTTACGCTTCAAGTGTAACGCACCACCACATCACCACATTGTTGACATTAACTACATCAACCCCTACTTTGGATTGTTTGTTTCCTACCAAAATGGTTGTTTATGATTCAAGGTTTGTTGACGCGTATAACAGGGTTTTTTACGGAGTACTGTGCATGAATCCAATCTCCTATCACTGATCACTGAGACATTTCCTGCTTACAGGTAGGTATTAGTGCCATGGCGCCTATTGTGTCACCCAGGCACGAGTCACCACTGTGAACGTGAACATGACATAAATATCAATATGAACAGGACCATGAACATAGTGGACCTGCCATTATACTAACAGCATATGTTCTAGCCCATAACTAACGTTAAGGGGGAAAACAAGGAAATGAGTCCCCAGAGGGTCCGACCTCCAGGCACCAACACCTGATTGGCTCCCCCCTGTGGCCATGACCGTTCGTTGGTGACCAGGCAACGCTAAGCCCTGATCAGCTTAGCTCTGGTTAACAATAGAATTCTAGGTCTCTCCTCCCTTTCTCCCCTTTCTGCTTTCCCTTCATTCTCCTCCTCCATTCCTTTCCCTATCGCAGGTGTTTGCTTCACTCTTTTGGCTCACCTTGCTGTCCACTCTTTACTAGGTTCACTCTTTGGCGTCTAGCCTGTTTGACCCCTTTCCCCCCCATTCCACTGTTTATCCCCCCCGGATTGAATCCTTGTCACTCGTTAAAACATCGACGATCTTTCCAAATCAAACGATTTTCGATACATCCTCACTTTGTATCTGACGCTAATCGACAATTTACAATCGACAATCAACAAACAAAGTTCGACATCCGATATCCGACTACACCTGCCAAGATGATGAACATATTCCCCCGACTCGTTGCCCGTGATGACAATAACGGTGGACTCTCCAATGCTATGGTCGACCTTCTGATTGCTCTCCTCGTTCTGGTTCTGCTCGCCCTCGCCCTCGTGGGTGGTCTTATGGTCCTCCGCCGCAAGCGTAACACTCGCAAGGAATCGCTTCTCCCAGTCTACAACGGACAAAGCCCTCCCAACAACCGCCGCTTAACCATTTCCACAAATAAGACCGACTCCGTCCTAGTGTATGACGAGAAGCGCAACCTCATGGAGAACTCCGACAGCCCACCACCCAGTCCCGTGCCTGAGATTCGCATCACATTCCCCGAAGAAGAAGATGAGAGCGGCAAGCGCAAGTCTGGCCGTATGGTGATAGTTCGTATCAGTGATGCCGGCAGTGTCGGCCTGGAGCCTTGCCATGAAGAGCTCCCACCCTACCAGACCAGCGACGCCGATCGCTTCCAGTCCCTCGACATTGAGCGTATGGGCGGTTTGAAGGAGAAGGAAATGAAGACATACTCCTAGAGGAACATTGCTACCCAACTTAGCCATTGAGCTTGCCCGCAGAGCCGCTCACCTCGAACCCTTCTTCGACGACTTCCCAAAAGCATGACAACCCTCCAACATCTTCTCCGATTCTACCCCTTTACATACCTATTCCCCGATCTGGCCTGACGGCTTGCACATATGCGGATTCAGTCTCTGTTCCAACCCGGCCTACCCCATGGAGCTATCATCTCCATCGGATAGCTCGGCCCACCTGTACACGGAAGCTGGATCATTCATAGCGAGGGCCTGCCGATTTTTTCGTTTTCTGCTTTCTGGCGTTTGATTCTTGAGCCTGGTCCCCCATGTCCCTTTCAACCCTGCCACGTTCCTAGGGTTCGAAATACATGCACGCGACCTTTCTGCTTCTTTCTCTTCTTCACACCCTTTTAGGGAGTCCTAGTTTGTTTCTTTTGGGACACCCTCTACTTTACTTTCTTACCTTATTATGTGCCTTTTCTTCGGTACCCGGCAGCTGGATAATGTATGTACTTAGTCCTCCTATGTTTTGCCATGGCAAACCTGCAATATCATTTTTCTGTGTGTATCTGTGTGTAGTTGTATCCACTCGGCGAATCAGAATCGCCGAGCCCGACCTCCAAACCCGTCCGTTCCGCGACGTCAGGGAACTTCGGTCTCTTTTTCTTTTTAGCAAATTCGCTCAATTATTCCACTGGCTTAGCCATGTACATGTTATAGCTTCACGATCCATAGGGAAGCCGTTCCACAGACGAGCACAGAAAGGGGTTGGACCTCCGCAACTATACCTCCGCCCTCAACCCTCCACCTATACCTTTCCCCCTCCACTTCGAATGGACCTTGCCTGACCCGGTTCTCTCGGCTCAATCCGTGCTTGCGCTTGCTCCGGCTTCCCTACCCTCGAATACTATCTTCGGACACCGTGTCCACCCCTCCCGGACCCCTCTAGCCTCTAGTCCGTGGGCTCTATCTCACAATACCAGACCGCGACCTGGCGCGCCGTTTTCCCCCAATCTCAGACGTTCGAACGCGCCCTTTACCGTGGAAATGGTTGCGAACCCTGCTTCAGGGGCTGCGGGGACTGGCTCGAAGCCCAATGCCTCCAAACACGGTCTCTCGGCATCTGGGCCTCGAAGCCCGGCCGCGCAGTCTAGGCGCAAACAAACTGGAGTGTTAGATCAGAAGGCGCTGGCGCTGGAGGATGAGTTTAAGACGAAGCACCTTGGTGTGCTGGGTGTTCTGGCGTGGATAATGTGAGTGGGCTGTTTCCAGGTTTGGCGGAGCTTCAAGCTTGTAACTGGACGAGTTTGAGAAGAATGCTGAGCTGACATTGGGTAACTGCAGGCTTTTGCATGTTGCAGGTATATATTTGTTCACAAAGGGGTTCCTTCTCACGCGCATGGTTTTGGAGAATAAATCATCATGCGAGGTTCTACCCTTCGAAGAAGTCCTTGCTCAACCGCACTCGACCGCGCTGGGAATTAGACAGGAAAAGGGTTGCTGGCACGAGAAAACTTTTGACAAAGCTATTGTTATCATTATCGATGCTCTTCGCTACGACTTTACCGTGCCTTTTGCCTCAAAGGACGAAAGTGAAACTGCCCACCTTTTCCACGACAATATCCCCGTACTCTACGAGACGGCTTTCCAAAACCCAGCTAACGCCTTCCTTCTCCCGTTCATCGCTGACCCTCCGACAACAACCCTGCAGCGCCTGAAAGGCCTGACAACGGGTACCCTGCCCACCTTCATCGACGCAGGTTCCAACTTCGCCGGGACAGCCATTGATGAAGACAATCTCGTTGCTCAATTGCACCACGCGGGGAAGAGTCTAGTCCACCTCGGCGATGATACATGGCATTCCCTGTTCCCAGGTTACTTCAATGAGAACCTCACTCATGCATACGATTCGTTCAATGTGTGGGATTTACATACCGTCGACAATGGCGTCACAGAGCATCTCTTCCCACTGCTTCATCCCGAGAACAGTACCAAGTGGGATGTGATCTTTGGTCATTATCTCGGTGTGGATCATGCCGGCCATCGGTACGGTCCCAACCATGCTGCCATGGCATCCAAGCTACAGGAAATGGACCGTGTTATTCGGCGGATTATCGCAGCCCTTGATGATAAGACTCTCCTTGTCGTAATGGGTGACCACGGTATGGATGCCAAGGGCGACCATGGCGGCGAGTCTGATGACGAGGTCGAGGCTGCGTTGTGGATGTACTCCAAGCGTGGTATCTTCGGCCGAACGAGCCAGGATACAGTCCTCCCACCCAAGTTCGCTCATGATCGCTTCGTGCCTCAAATTGACCTCGTTCCCACACTGTCCTTGCTCCTTGGAATGCCCATCCCATTCAATAACCTGGGCTCGCCTATCGAAGAAGCTTTCTCCGGCGCTGGTGGTAAGAACTGGGCTAACTTGGCCACTGTTAACCGCTTGACTTCGGCTCAGGTTAAGAGATATCAGCACCAGTATGGCATTGCCAGAGGCGCTGGTGATGACGAGGAGTCTATGCTGCTTTATTCTGCTGCTGAACAGGAGTGGAAGTCTGCTTCCAAGAGCTTTTCGTCTAAGTCGAGTGCTGCCCGCGCTAGCAATGAGCTTTACCGCAAACACCAGCGGCATACTCTGGATGTCTGCCGTGGCCTATGGGCTCGATTCGATGTGCCTAGTATGATTCAGGGAGTTGTGATTCTCTTCGCGGGAATTGTTCTGCTGGTTATTTATGCACGAGGCCTGAAGATGGATCGGACCCAGCTCACTCCTCGCTTGCTTTCGTTCGCGGGGACTGGTGCTGGTGTCGGTGCTGTTTCTGGTTCTGTTTTGGCATTGGTTGGTTTGACTGAGATGACCATCATTGATTCCGCTGTGCTTCTGGCTGCGGCTGGAAGCATTGTTGGAGCTCTGCCGGCCGTTGTCACGAAGCCCGCGAACCTGACTGTGCCACTTCCCAATGGTATGTGGGGTTGGCTTGCGTTCTTCTTCACTGTTTCCCAGTCCGTTGGATTTGCTTCCAACTCATACACCATCTGGGAAGATGAGATCCTGCTTTTCTTCCTTACTACCTTTGGTGTATGCGCGGGTATCTCGTCCATGCGCCAGAAGCAGACCACAGATCGCGTCCTCGGTGTGTATCACTCCGTCCTCTTCGTGATCCTAGGCCGCATTGCATCCTTCTCCCGCCTCTGCCGTGAGGAGCAAATGCCATTCTGTCGCTCGACCTACTACGCCTCCTCGACCTCTTCCATCTCCGCCCCTTGGCAACTCGCCATCCCCTTCCTGGTCACCCTCTTCCTCCCCAGCGTAGTCCGCTCATTCTACGCCGGCTCCAAGTCCTACGAAGGCGCCGCAGCTCTCTGGATCGGCTTCGCCTTCCGCCTCGGCCTCTTCATCACCTCCCTCTTCTGGATGCTCGAAGGCGCCGACGACGGCGAGTGGCTCCCCCTCAGCAAGGAAACCCTCAAATCCGTGCGCGTCTTCCTCGCCCAACTCGTTCTAGCTCTCGCCTTCGCCGCCGGCACTGGTGCATACCTCTACTCCAAGCCCTGCGTCAGCATCAACGTAACAAAACCAACCGAAGACCCCATCGCCCCCCCAGCCCCCATAATCGCCGGCCAACAACAAGGTCCCCGAACAACAGTGACAATTCTCGGCTTCGGCAATGTCTACGGCACCCGCTTCTTCTTCCTAGTAATCAACTTCGCCCTGGCAATCATCCTCATGCAAAAGCCAATGGGCCAAGGCGCCATCGCCCTCCTCCTCTGCCAAATCCTCTCCCTCCTCGAAATCTTAGACACGAACGCCCTAACAATGTCCAACTCCTCCATCGGCCCTGTCATCCTAGGCGTCCTGGGCTCCTTCTATTTCTTCAAAACAGGCCACCAAGCAACCCTCAGCTCCATCCAGTGGGAAACAGCCTTTATCCCCCTCTCAACAATCAAATACCCCTGGTCCCCGCTCCTCGTTGCACTCAACACCTTCGGCGCTCAAATATTAGCTGCCATCGCTGTCCCCCTCACCGTCCTCTGGAAACGTCCCCTGCAAACTCACGACCGCGTGCCTGCCTCTGAACCGTCCAAAAACCCGGCTACACGGCTCCTCTCCGATGTCGTTCAAGCTGCTGGTACCCATATCCTCTATCTGGCAACGATCAATCTCGCCACGACTATGTGGGCTGGCCATCTCCGTCGCCATCTGATGCTCTACCGCATCTTCAATCCGCGGTTTATGATGGGATCGGCTGTCTTGGCGGTTGTGGATGCTGTCTTGATGATTGTTGCTGTTGGTGGTGTTCGTTGGAGTACGCTTAGCGTTGGTGAGGTCTTTGGTTGGTGATGTCCATGGTGATTGCCGTTTTGCATTGGGTGGTTTGGTTTCTCTTTTGCGTTTCTTCTAAAAGCATTGCGCTTGGTATTTCCCCCTTGCCACTGTCATATCGTATCATTTCATGATATGCTATGTCTTTCCTTCTCTTTTTTTTTTCTCTCTCTGCTTGATCCCTCCATCTTCTGTGTTGGCGCGCTTCTGCTTCCGCGCTGCGCTGTGACTGTGTACATGCGCTTTTTTCTATCTATCTTGTATTACCTACCTACCTTCTTATCCCTTCCCTTCCTTCTTTATCTTTTCTCTTTCTTTATCGTTTGGTTCTGCTATGTGTTGGTACCTATAGATTTATAACTATAATCATAGTCAGAAAAGTTATATAGCCCCCGACTAAGTAGATCTTACATAGCCATTCTGTACACAGGGCTTCTAGAGTATAAGGTACTGCACGAGATCTGATAAGGCCAACCAAACATACGGAGAAACGGTTCATAACTAAAATATACGTGCTTCGAACATACCTTCACCAGGTGTAAATTCCCGCAATTATGGCTCGTCGTAATTTACTATAGCTATGCGGTCAAGCATCTACCCTCAGTACAATACCGTTCATACCGTGTAACGGATTCTAACTCAATAATAACATATAAGTCGAGGTGCGTCCTCACATTGATGATATACTCCTGCCACACAGTGTCCCTATTAAGTTCGATAATAGGCTGCGCCGAAAGCTTAGCTGCGTTGAGTACTACGACGTCGATGGGGATGATTTCGTTGGCTAGATCCTTCTATAGCCGATCGAGGGACAACACGTCGACAATATCGCAACAGCGCCCTAAGGTCTGAGTCGAGGGGAACTCGGATGAAAGACGTGACGCGGCAGAAGCAACCAAGGTATCCCACCGGCCGATGATGATGACTCTTTCTGCGCTGGCCTGGGCCAAAGCCTGTGCGATCGCATAGCCGATGCCCGTGTGGTCGCCCGTGATGAGCACCGTCTTCCCTGCCTGAGAGAGCTCCGGGCGGGTGAGATGGTTGGATAGGGAGCATTGTGGACCGTTTGGGTGAGGGCGAAGCCTGACGGCAAGGTGATAGAAGAAGACATGATTGAACAGATTGATGTTAAGATCTCGAATAACTAACAATCTGCGAATAACTAACAATCTGGAACCTGAAGACTGAGACACACGAGGTGTATAGTTTCGGAGTAGGGCAACAAGTAGAGTGCACATCCGAAATTGAAAGATACCTTTTCTTTAAGATTTCTGCTACGTCCCTATAATGCCTTTTCTTAGAACAGTTCCTACAACGACGTATCGGCTTCCTGGCACTGGTCTGTAGACGGATAAGACCCACTACGAACATTCGAACACTCCATCGCCTTTGCCACTCCGCAAGACACGTCAAAACAAACTCCGCAATGCAAGTCTCCACAATGCACCTGGAACTCCGCAATGCACCTCAAACTCCGCAGACACTAGGAATGAGCTGCGCGATTTTGGAGACCTGCACTTTCAATGCCGCCCCCATTCCCACCAAGCTCACAGTCCAGGCTGAATCACTGTCATGGGTCACAAAGATTAGCACCACCCTAGTCCCCTGATCAAACGTTTATTGGGGGATGAAGTCAGGAAACCACTCGCTATGCAACCTTAATTGGCGGACCCGTCACAGGAGACTTCCAGTCCGGGTGAATGTTTGTTTTCTGCTTACACGGGAAAGAATTGCGTCACTACTGGCATGGGATTATAGAACACATGGTTGAGTCTATCGGCTGCACGCGAAGTTGTGCGACGTCTTGGTCACAGACTGGTGGGGGCCGACAAAAAACGAGCAATCCGCCATGCATGCTGGAGATGTTATCATGATCAAATATCTACTAGTATGATGGTGAAATATGAACTTCACTTGGCGGACTTGAGAATTGAGCAAATTCGAAACCTAGCAGGAGTTCGCTAAAATTCAGATTTCGTGCCGATTACATTTCCACCACGTCGGAGTTTGCGCCAAAGCTCCGCCGCTAGGATTCATAAGCTCAATCACAGTCATCGATGCTCTAGATTTGCAACTTGTATATTGTCCGGGCGCTTTGGTAGTGGAGTTCTGTATGTCTTGAAATCCTTATAAATGGAACCTGCTCGTGCTGCGATAAATTTCTGTCCCTCTACGGCCTCAGCCAGCACTTCAAGTTACTTATGCGCGCAAAGCCCAACAATCACTTACATTCTTGCATTGGGGATCCTTGAACATGTCTACCTTCGTTGATACCCAATGGGATCCGTTGAGGGACATTACCGATCTCCGTGGTTACGTTGTTGTTGTGACAGGAGGAAGGTAGGTAGCTAAGGCAGAGCTCTCCCGACGAAGTCTAGCGGTGTGTTCTAAGAGACATCATCCTGTAGCAGCGGAATCGGCTTCGCAACGGTTAGCCTCCTTGCACGACGTGGAGCAAAGGTATACTTCACAACACGATTTGAGTCGAAAGCCCGAAAGACAAAGGAGACACTCCAAAATACGCACCCAGATATCGATCCGAACAATATCGAATGGCTATTGTTGGACTTATTCGATTTGAAAAGTATTGATGCAGCTACTAATAAGCTGAAAATGAAGGAAAGAAAGCTGGATATCCTAAGTAAGACCCTAAGACATTCTCCTGGGACGTTACTCGTTTCCTGACATCTAGCTACGAGTTAATAACGCTGCGGTCTCGACGTCATCCACTGAGCTTGTAGCTGATAGATGGGAACAACATATGGCAGCCAAGTAAGTTGAACTCTCAATTAGAGCAGGTTGGCATTATTCTGACGTCCCTCAGCCATGCGGGCCCTTTCCTCTTTGTCAACCGTGTCTTGCCGCTTCTCAAGAATGCTCTGAAAGAAAGGGACAGCGATGTTAGGATCATAAACCTCAGCTCCATCGCACACGTCAGCATGCTGCCGCAAACCTTCAAGTTCACGTTCGACTCTGCCGCTTGCCTTAGCAACCCGGTTCCGTCACACCCCTGGCAATGGCGATGGTTTGGCAGATTCATATTCGGCTTCGATATAGTCCGCTACGCCGTGTCAAAAGCCGCCGTCGTTTTGTTTACAAAGGAGTTGCAACAACAGTTGGATGAGCAGGATCTTCCTATCATAACTATTGCTGTACACCCTGGTGAGGTTGCTACTGAGGGTGTGATGGCGATCAACAATGCATTTATAAAGACCCTAGCCCGGATATCCTTTCTCACTCCCGAACAAGGTTCGGCTACTCCTATCTTTGCGGCGACCGCTAAAGAGGTGCGACAGAACGCTGGGAAGTACAAGGGCAAGTTCCTAGTTCCCTTTGGCAGAGTTGAGGCTCCGAATACCGTTGTCGAAGACGATGGACAAGTCAAAGGGTTGTGGAAGAACACGACCAGGGAAATTAACAAGAGGCTTGTTAGTGAAGGTCTCCCACTCTTGGATATGTGGTGATTGGCGCGTGACTTCGTTGCGGAATCGGACTTCTTCGCTGATAACCTTAACTAAGCATGATTTTTATTGGGTCCATTTCAGCTGTCGTTCTGAAGAAAGTTTTCACGGTTTTGTTTATAGGCAAATGTTCTGGTGAAGGCTACAGCACAAAGTAAAGTACCCTTTCATTGATAGGTGGTTCCAACGCTGTCTCCGACAACACATCCCTGTAGCTGCCTCTCAGAGCATCATGACCTCGTCAAAATCAATAATTCGAAGGAACAAGGAATTTGACCAAATCCTACGGGATACATCGTTATTAATGTAAAGTGGTAGCGCTTTGCCTTCAGTGGGTGCCAGGCCATTGCCACAATCCAGGTAACGAGGTAGCAAATCAACTGGTCAAGGACACCGCAGGGCCGGGCAGAACATACCCTTCCTTCCCCTGCTCACAAGGGAAAAGTTGCATGTCCGCAGCAACAGTTTCGCTCATTAGGAACAGAATGAAATTCATCCACCAGAGGCTCTCATCTGCGAAGAACCGACTGCGTTTTGCGGGCTATCTACTTTCTCACCGAACCAGGAGAGAAATCTAAATATTGACGGCAATTGAGAGGGGGACAAAAGCAAAATTGACTGCCAGGGAAGCTTCAAACTCACATCATTGATTAATGGGAAGTGCATCACGGCGCTGTTTCGAAATGCTGCTTTTCGCTACGTCTGCTCGGTGCCGGACTGAACAATCTCCGATAATGCTGGGCGAGTTCGTCTTTATACCTTAGTGCTCAAGCCAATATTGTCACATAGGTTTACAATACCCAAATGGAGTAAGAGGCACGAGACACCTTGCCAAAACCTCCACACAAAGCGAGTAGCTAAGGAAGTCTTTGATTATGCCTGGTAACATATCACGGAGAACACCCTCCATGTTACCAGAGCGTTCAGCATTTCTCTTTGTGCCACCTTATGGATCACGCGGCGGCCATTGCGCCAAACTCTTGACATCTGTATGGGGGAGTTGTTTATAACCAAAAGCCTATTTAACCGTTGACCGACAAAACAGCATATTCATATGCTTTTGAAGCGCTAGCGTATTCTCAAACGAGATCTGACCCGGTTACATTACTGCAATCGCCTGGAGGCTTCCGTCTCGCGCTCTCCGGGTCTGGCGCACCACAAGAACCAACACTGCCACCGTCACATCCCTGTGTCTTAGTTATCCCACATCCGACCCGAGAAAAGCAAAGAGAAAGCAGAAAGATCTCCTGCCATTGCTGAAGCCGAACTGTGAGCGAATTAAGGCGCTTAGATAATGCTCAGTGAGCGGATTAGGGCTTAGGTGAGGATCAGAGCATGCTGAACGTTAGTGAGCAGGTCAGAGCGCTACATATATCTTACCGACCCTTCAGCCACCACCAATGTCGAGTCAAAGAAGCTTGATTAATCAATGGTTCTAAGCCGGCAATTGGCAAAGACCTACATGTCTAAACCCGCCCACTTTCCTGGCAAAGCTATCAGAGCAAGTGGCATTTCCCGAACTAGACTTACGCTGTTGCAATTTAGTCCATTGATAATATGGGCATTCGGGACTATGGCACCACTTTCCAGGGGTCTTTTTTCCGTGTTCTCTCGGAACTGATGTGTCGGTCTTCATAGAATTTGGAATTGGGGATTAACGTTATATGAGCTAGTACACTAGTACATTGCTGTTCCCACCGGTCAGATCTTTGGCGGTAACTTTTGGTGCTCAGAGTAGCCTTGCTGTGTGACGCATTTTGTCAAGATAGAAAATCGATGTAGATGTAGATGTAGATTTATAACTTTAAGTTAATCATAGTCTGAAAAGTTAAACATATTCTAACTAAGTAGATCTTACACAATCATTTTGTAGACAGCCAACATATCATCTATATCCCAGGAAAGAGATAATAATATCCATAGAACATATTGAACTCGAAATATGTGAATAGCTAGCAAGAGGACTCCATACATCTCACCGATCTACGAAAATATACGAAATAAGAATATGTAAAATGAATAAAGAAATGAATAGATTCCACAAACTAAAAAGCCTTATCCTAATCCTAATCGCGACAATCGCTAGCAGGGACAGAGACAGACAGACAGAAGAAACAAAACAACAACTTTTGGGGCAGAGGGGTATTCACAAATGCGACAATTGTCTGACATCACGGGAAAAAAAACACAATATGATGTACATGAAGTCGTTTCTCGGGTCATTTTTCATAGAGAGTGGTTCTGTCGTTTATTTTTTTTGAAAGGGAGGGAGATGCTTGGGGAAGGAGGATTAGAGGAAGGAGGGAATATGGTGAGTGGGGAGTGTTGGGGGGTTGTCAACAAAGGGTAGATAGGTAAATGAAAGAAGTGGAAAGGAGAGAAGACAGAGAAGGGTGGGGGGTAGGGGTGGAGAGACGGAGGGAGAGAAACAGAGAATGTGATCGGTTAATGGGTGTTGTAGTTGACTTCAGGGTCTCCAGGCAAATGGCAAATCAGCGGGCCCATCGGGAGAAGTCCAAGTTCTGTAGGATGTTTGTGTCTGCCGCTGCATTCCACTCCGCCGCAAAGTCGGTCTGCACCTGGGGAGCACGCGAGGGCAGCTCCTCAGAGAAGATGTTGGCCTTGGTACCACGACGCTGGCCAGGGTAAGCACCTTCGGCGGGTTCAGAGGGTTGCGCCTGGGCTGTAAGAGCACGCTCGCGAACCTTCTTGATTTCACGTAGACGAGTGCGCCAGGAGGTGGTGTGCTCGCCACCCTTGTTATTCCAGACAAGCGAGAAGACGGACGCGTTGAGGGCAAGAATGCGCACAAAGGCTGCCAGATTCTTTCCGGAGATAACCTTCGGTGTTGCAGCGGGCGATACATCAGGGAATCCAGGCTTGCTCATGACATGTACACTGTAGAAGAGCTTTTGCGGGTCGGTTTCGCCTTTGGCGTTGCCATCTTCGTCGTAAGCAATACGAGATGATGGGGTGATGACAATGTTGATGGAGTTGAACTCGGACGGAATTGTGTCAAAGTTGAAGGGCAGGTTGGATCGGTTGAACACGATGGTGACATGGTTGTTGCCGATGTTTCGTTTCTTGTTGATGCAAGCTGGGTCATGCTCAAGGTCCGTAGGCATCATCGTCGCAACGTGGTACACGATTTCGGTGACACGATCTCGCCAAGCGTAGGTGACTTCTCCGTCAGTGTCGGCATACAATCCTTGCGGATTGAATTGAGGGTTTCGAAGAGACACTTTAGTTCCCAACCCGGATAGCAGATGCTCGTAGTCCGTAGAACCCCCGGTGTTAGCTAGGATAGCCGCCTCCTTTGTCTGGGCATTACCGACGTAGACAATGCCGATACGATGACCATCCACAATGTCAGTTCGATCAAAGTTGCTGATCGCACGGCGGGTGATGTCGTCTTCCGGAACCGGGATGGGCTGCATGACCGTTGGTGTAGGGAAAGCAGTCGCAGTCAATTGGAGCATGATGTGACTTGGGAGAACGGCTGTATGCATGGAGTCGGGATGTAAATGGGCGTCAAGTGTGGGAGGCACTTGATGCGGCAAAACCGGGGCAGTGCGCTGTTGATAGACCGAATATGTAGTTCCTGATGCCTGGCGCTTTGTGATTTGGGATATGCCAGATACTCCAGCACTCTCCACGGTGACAATACTCATACCGACAACCCAGGACTTCTTCGCAACAGGACCATCCTCAGGCGAAGGAGGGAATGTTTCGAAAGGAATCGTCTCTCCGAGATCCGAGTAAGCAACTCGCTGCATCAGATCAATCAAGACTTGGCTTTGTTCTTCAACCACCTCCTTGCCGTGTTCGTCGTGGTAAATGAGTCTGCTTGTGATCCAGTTCACATGTTTGGGACGGTCCTGCAGTCTCAGAGACAAGAACCAGAAGACCATGACATGATAGGTGAGGTTGGAAATGTATTTGGACATGCCGTCTTGTGGAGAGGGTTCGGCAGTCTCGGCAGTTTGGGACGACTGAGCTGCTTTGTATCGCTGCTCCCTTGAGGTCTGCAAAAAGCGAATGCAAATTCCAAACACGGTGCGGACTTCTTCCTCGCGCAAGTTGACGTACACATCTGGTAGCCGTGCAAGCAAAGCCAGGAACTCCAAGATATGAACAGCGATGTTTGACATGGTGATCACCTTGGACATTCTATCAAGAATGCTGGTCAGTGACTTAGTCACCGACATGGGGATTTCATAACAACAGATTGACAGGGCTTGGATGCAACCGCGGGAAGTACCACCCCATGATCCGATGATACCCTGCATGAAAGCACGAACAAGATCATCCTCTTCACTTTTGGCAAAGTGCTGATGATAACTGACGAGCATACAAAGCGCATCAAAGATACATGCAGCTACATCGCTCTTTTTCAACCCAGTGATCTCAGGAGGTTCATGGAAAGTCCCGTTCTTGACTTGATCACAGAGAATGCTGCGCAAGAGCGTGACTTGAGGAATCGCATCTCTGAAAAAGTCTTTGTTACCAAGCTGAGGTCCCAGATGAGTAAGAACATAGCTGTAGACATCCCAGTCGGTCTCTCGTTGTAGCAGGCTGATTACAACCTCGAGCCACATCTTGACCTTCAAAACTCCTGTGGTATCCAGTCCTGGCGCATTCAACTCGGCCGACTCCGGGCTGGCTACCTCCGGGTGCGTGTATGCAAAGACAACAGGGCTGGACTCCCCAGGTGGTTGCTCAGGAAGTACTTGCGGGAGAGCATATGTCCACGATGGAGCAGTCAGCTTCGATCCACGGGCAGCGATAGAACCACGCCCCGGAGCCGACTTCGAAATCGATGTCTCTCTTATTGGAAGCTTTCCGCTGAGAGTGCCTGGGAAGGGATCGTGCTGGGGAGCTTCGCGGGTAGGACTATCGCCGGGGGCTTGTAGTTTAGAACCACCGTCGAGGTTTCGACCCAAAACGTTCATCAGGAAGTCACTTTCCGAGGTGGATATGACTGTCACAGATCCGGCCGAATC